AACTTGGAGGGGATGTAAGTAATAGTGCAAAAAACGATTACAATATTTAACATAATCCGTTTTCTAAAACGTGCGCTTTTCTCAACTATCATAGTCTTGTCTCTATTTTTATCCATTTTTTTGTCTAATTCTGTGAGGATTCACAAAGAATATGAAAAGATACAAAAAGTGGATAGATTGGGTAAAAATAGAGACAAGATTACGGTAGAAAGGAGAAAGGGGAGACGTTTTAGAAAATGGATTGGAGAAGAACGAATGTTTTAGTTTTAGCTTTAGAAAACTAACCAAAATACCGTATTTACTCTATTAGTGGGGTCCCCCACTATTTTTTCAATCCCCTTCCAGACGACCCCACTATTAGAGAAATTTAAAAGAACATAAAACCAAAGTTTTAAATTGAAAAGATATCAATTTTTCTCCGAAATTCTTGACAAAACAAGTTTGGCTTCATATTTTATTTAGCTTTAACCGTAACAAAACATTAACAAACAGTAAAAGAACTAATCCAAGAGATCAACAATTGATGTATCACTTTCGTTACCAATATTAGAGAGGACCCCATTAATAGAGTAAATACGGTAATACATTTGCTAGCATTGCTAGAGTGAATATGATAGGTGATCTTTAGCTGCATTAATGCAGCTAAACATGAAACATTCAATTTCGAACTCGAATCTGTTTCCCTTCATAATTACGGTTCGCTGAGCTGCGTTGGTTCTCCAAAAAATGAAACTTTAAAAAAAAATCTAAAGCCTGAGCTTGATTTCAAGTCTTTGAATAGCATTAACGTTTTACAAAAACTACGAATCGCCTTTAGCATTCATGTTTAGCTTTTCACTCAAAATTGAAACGAAAACTTTTTAAAGTGTTTCTGGTTTTGGATTCTCGTAATAAAAAACCCCAAGTTTCAAATTCAAGGGATATAAAGGGACAAACGGAAAATCAATGCTTGCCCATTCTTTCCACGTACATTGAGCTCTCTCAAATCCCGTAAACACACTTAATTCTTCCATTTCCTCCTCACAGCAAAGATTTGATGCCAAAAGAGAAAATGAATTGAGTACGCCAGAAATGGGGTGTTTACGGGATTCGGAAGGCACAAAGTACACGAAAGGAAAAGTTGGGATTGTCGAATTTCTCCTTTGAGGACTGACCGGTCCTTTTCCCCAAAAATTCATTTTCCTTTGAGACTTTTCTCTTGAAAAGTAATGCCATTGTAATTGAGGAGTTTCCGGATTTCTTCCGACAGTTATCCCTTCTCATTTCATTATTTTTCCTTTTCAAATGCCATTTTCGAAGTTTCACTCAACAATAGAGTGAAAATTCAAAGAAAAATTTAGGCGAAAGCTTTCTATTATCTTCTGGAAATTTCTAAAGTCTAATATATGACAATTCTTTAAAATCTGAATATTTTTAGCAACGCTATTGAGTGAAACTCTTCTCATTACAATACGCAAAAAAAGTGAAACTCGAAATTTCTTCCTGTAAACAATTTGCTTGAGTCTATTTTATTAAATCTATCAAATCTTGGAAATTTCCTTATTAAATCTCTTTGGGAAAAGAAAAACATTCAGTCAAATAGATCTAATAATTTTATTTTTATTTAAAGTAAAGCGAAGAAGGATTAGAGAGTAACTTTCTTCTTGGTCCTTGAAAAAAAATGAAACTCAACTTTTGCAATTTAGTTGTTTCTCCAAAAACAGCATTTTGCTTGATTTTCACTTCAGTTTTTACTAAAAAACCGGCAAAGAACCTTTTTGAATGAAAAGCCACATGAGGACTCAAGATTTGATAAACAATTTTGATATTGAATGCCCATTCGTCGAGGATTCTTTGAGAATTATCTGTAAACTTTTGAAATTCGTAAAATTTACATAAAAACCTCAAAACTTTTCTTTTTCAAGCAGACGGCCGCTATAATTTGTGCTTTTCGCTTGACGAATTCCTTGTTCTTCCATTTCTCATCTATTTTCTTTCATTCTCGGTCATTTTCATGAACCGTTTACCCATTGAAATACAGTACTGGACAATGAAATATCATATTTGAAAAATGATCGTCACATTCGCGCGTCTGTAATTTCCTTGTCTTTGAGTTTAAACTATTAGTGTTATACATTTTCTGAAAGCTCTTTTCAAGGGCTACACAATGGTAATATTATTAGAAATACGGTAAAGACAAGGGAGTTATAGACGCGCAAAAGTGGCGATCGTTTTTCAAATATGATATTTCATTGTCCAGTACTGTAGTTGCTTTCCGCCTTTTCCTTCAATGAATCCCTTCAAGAGTTTTAAGTTCAATTTTTGACATTTTATGACATTGTGCCTTTTATGACTTCTGTTTGCTTCAAATTTTGTACAATTTTTATATCGAATGACGGAAGACGTGAAGAAGAATTGTTTGAAAATTACCTGTCATTTAATCGTGTATTTTGAAACTCACAAAATTTACGGAAAAACTCGATAGTTTACGAGAGATGGATTAGACTTCTAATCTTAAATCATAATTTTAAAAAATTACTTCAAAGGTGTATCGTTGAGGAAAGATAACGTTTGCGTTGTCAAAATTGAAACAAAATTTGTTGGAGTCTCTTCAAAATCGAAGACTTAGCAACCGGTTTAAAAGCCCATTTTTTTTGCTGTCTTTCTTTAGGGAGAATCCACCAAATTTTAATCCGAAAATCCAATTTGAGAAGAAAAATCGCAAGATCTTACAAAAAAGATACCACAAAATGTTAGAAACTAGTTTAGTCAGGTGGATAACCTTTTAAGAGATTCTTTTAAGATCTTTGACGATGTTCAAAGATTCAAAAAAGCTCTGATTACTTCAAAATTGTCCCCTTATTGGTTGGAAATATTGCCTTTTGGCAATGGATTAGCCGAGGTTGAATATCTTTTGTAGAATGACAAAACTATTGCAAAAAAATGATAATGAGTGCAATCGTGTTTAAAAGATGTTTTCAGCCTTCCAAAAATTTCAGTTTATACAAAAATGCCATAACTGAGATCCGGAAATTCGCTATTGACCCACTTTTCATCAGTCATATTCTAAAATTTCAAATTTTCCAATGCCTGAATCCAAAATTAGACTCAAAAACTCATCCAATCCAACAGTTATCCAAATCCTTTTCCCACACAATCCCAAAAAAGATGACCAGCTTCTCAAAATCCTTCTTGAAATCCCCCTTTCCCTGCCCTAAAAAGCTTTCCATCCGATTGGCAATGGCTTTCACTGAAGGAAAAACTCGTAAAGGTGAAAAAAAAGAAAGGAATTGAGTGAGTATCCAACTGTGAGACTGAAGAAAAGTTGAAGAAGGGGAAAGGGAATTTTTGGGCGGTAAAGAAAGTGAGCATGGGGAAATGGGATTGCCAAAGGCAGAGGTGGTAAAATTTCACGGTTCTGGCTTCTGTACAGTCTGGGACAATTCTCGTTGATTTGCTTTTGAATCAAAATTTCGCTAATGATTACCAATGCTGAGTAAAAAGACGTTTATTTTTCCCTTACTATTAGTGTTCTCTGTATTTTCCGAATGTTGTAAGTCTTGGTAGACTCAATAAAAGGAATAGCCACCTTTGGGCATCATCATGCTCTAATTTTTGGAATCAATTCTTACCTTAAACAATTCCTGGTTGTATTTTGTCTAGATCATCACAAACCATTGAATCACTTAAAACAGCAGCTAAACTCAGAGAATAAGCGCTTTGTTCAAGATTTTCCCCAGGATTGGAATAGCCGAATCAATCCTTATTTCGTATCATTCTCAAGTCTAAAATGTCTGCTATAAAATGACATTAAAATCAACAAACATTTTGTCACTGGACCTCCACGACTCTTTCAAAACATCCAGAAACCTAAAAAGCCTAAGCCTAACAAGCCATTTCTTATTTTTAAACATTCATTGTCTTTGATATCTTTGTTTTTAAACTTAACCAAATCAATTTCAGATATTATTCCATATTTTAATCGCAAAATGAGAGGGAAAGACCTAATCTTCTTGTTATTGGTGGGCGCTTTTTAAGAACAAGTTTCAAGTTTAAGAGGGTCAAAAAGGTTGAAACTGTCTACTAATGGCTTTTTCTGTTAAAGAAAACCTTTTCAAGTATCAAAAAAGCTCAAATCTTTATGGAATTTGAAAACTCGGCTTTCAATTAAAGGTTAACATTGAAAATCGAGCCGAGTTTCAGTTCTCACTCGGTCAAGCCTACGACTACGAGCCGACGACCACTTCCGCACCCTACACCCGATCATATAATCTCGAGAATTCGATCATCGGCAAGTTTTTATAAAGATTATCTACTTGGTTTGGTTGGCTTCAAATTTTGACCAAAGTTAACCAAAATTGGAAAGGAAAGAGTGTGCAAAGCCTCAGTTTCAAACTAGTTCACTCTAAAGGGATCTCGTTTTAGGCAATATTTCTTGAATTTAGTTTTTAATAGAACAATTTTTTCGTTTTCAATAACTTTTGTTAAATGAAAAACAAGAATTCGACTGTTTTAGTATAAAGAAAAGATTTTAAAAGTCCAAGTTTCAAGTTATTTGAGTAGGAAGGAGGTCCCGATTTGGTAGTGTGCCATCACTTGGCCAGCATTCAACTTATTTCGTTCGGTGCTTGCGGAAATAAATTCCACAAACGCTTTATTAAGTCTGTTCTTTGTGCTTTCTGAATCCCGCAAACACCCCGTTTCTGGCGCGCTCAATTCTTTAATTTTCCCCCTACAGCAACGATTTGCTATCATGAGGGGAAATTGAAGAATCGAGTGCGCTCGAAAGGGTGGGTTTACGGGTTTTCGGGGAGCACAATGCACATGTTGCAGTCCTTAAATGAACCGTGAAAATTGAACTCTTGCCAGTCGACAAATTCCACTTGGGTAAACAAATTTTCCCCCGGAAAAGTCAATGTTTCAACTTTTCTTAGGCGACAATTCTAGTTTTATGGACAGTCTGTGCCTTCGTCGGAAACAGTGAAAGCCACAAAATTTGTCCTCTTTTCAATAAAATAACAATGGACAAGGTCACTTTTCTGGAGAAATCGGCTGAACAAAGTGCAAGTTTTAGGGTGTTTTAAGGCAAAGAAAGGGCTAAGGCCATACATTTTTGAGGGGAAAATAGATGAGCGGAGAACATAATGAATGGGCAGTTCATGCAATTGTCCTTTGTCTTTTTGATTGATAGCCGATAAGCTTGAAATCAGCTTTTTTCTAGATACTCTAGATCTAGCAAAAAGAAAGCATTAGCTGCCTTTGGATAAACTTGAAACTTGACAACTGAGACTTATGTTTTGAATGAGAATCCTTGAAAAACTCGTGAGTTTGAAGGCAAAGAAAGCCAGAATAATCTAGGAATTCAGTTCATTTATCCAAAACTCTAAAAAAGCTAAAAACATAGTTGGGTTATAGCATAAAATACAACAAGAAAATTGATGTTTTCTTTGTTAAAATTGGAAACAAATAGTGTGCTTTTTCAGAAAACCCGGAAGTGAGCTGCGGCTCCGACGAGATTGCCCTCAATTTTCATACAAAAGCACCATTCAAAGGGAAAGTTTTCGTCAAGGTATGGAGTACTTTGTGCTCTCTGAGTCTCGTAAACCCACCCTTTCTGGCGCACTCAATTTTCCCATTTGCACCTCGTGACACCAAATCGTTGCGAGGGGAAAATAGAAGCATGGAGTGCGCCAAAGAGGGGATGTTCACGGGGTTTTAGATGCTTCAAAACTCAAGTTTCAGCTTGAGCAGTCTTTAAATTTAACTGGCTTACTTAATTAAAATTCTTCATCAATTTTGTAAATCAATTTTGGGCATGCAAGATGTGAAATCAGATGAAACTGGGTACTGGTCGCTTTTAAAATCAAAAGCTAAAAATCAACGGCAACTGAATTGAATAAATTGAAACTTGAGAAAGTTAAACTTTTCAAAAAACATATTTGTCCATTTAAGACCAGTAAACGACATCGAATTGACTGGTCTTAGAGTTAAATAGTCCTTTCTAAATTTGAAACTTACCACTTTTGCTCCAGGGTTACGTCTCCGATTCGAACTGTATGCGAGTCGGGAACCAACAAACCGATCAACGTTTCGGCATCTCTTTCGATCAATGTGGAGTCAGAAGGGAGAGAAAGGTTAAAATTAAAAAAGTACTTTTCAAATTCGTATCTGAAAACAATAACGATGTGAAGGATCCGCAAGCATTACCATTGGCAAGCAACCAATTGATAAAGAGTAGCCTAGTTTGAAATTCGTAAATCTCTTTTGTTATTAAGTCAAATCAAACCAAAGTCACTTATTTTGTTATCAAATTAAACAACAATAGCCACAAAAACAATTTAAAACTTGATTTTCAAAAGCAGATGCAAAAAATGACTTTGATTCACAATTCGATGCATAAAAAAAACCAAGTTTCAAGATTTTCAGTGGTTAAAGTAGGAGGACGAAATTAATCGTGGACTTTTACAGCATTTAACAAAGCAATCTAAACGGCACTTTTCAGATCAACGGAGTGACCATCGCGGCAACGGTCATTGTCTCGTTTCATCAGGTGAGATTTTTGGCGAGTTTCAAATGTAATAGGAATTCTTTAATTACAATTAAACCATTCATTGAAATTTCTACAAATAAAAGTCTTTTCTTTCAGATTTTCATCACGAAAGTCGATCGAGCCTACCGAATTTCGTGTTTCTACATGGAGAGCAGCAAATCGGTTAATCAGAGAATCGATGTCAGGTTGGGGATTTGAAGAAAAAAATTAAGGAAACGCATATAAAAGTTACTGAATTTATTGGATAAAAAGAAAACGCGTACAGAAATTTTAAACTTAAAAAATTAACTATCTAGCAGCTAACGTCTTAGACATAAACTTGAAACTAGACAATTTTTACTAACATGACTGATTTTTTTTGAACCCTATTCAACAGTGAAATGGGGCTTCAAAGTTTTAAGAGCCACAAAAAGATCCACTGAGCTATTCATTGGATTGAAAAAGAAGAAATAAATAGAATTTGAAAAATTAGCTAGCCAAATTGGGGTTTCAATTTCTAGCTTCTCCTAGACATGGGGGGCGAGTCACTTTATGCGTTTTAGCAAACGATTTTTGTTTTCTAAAGTGCAAAATCTCATTGTATTCATGCTTTAGAAAGCAAAAGTCGTTTGCTAAAGCGCAGAAAGTGACTCGCCGCCCATAGCTTCTACCGAATAAACTTGAAACTAGACTAATTTGTTAACTATGTTAACTAAATGATTGAGATTAGCTTCAATGAGAAAAATGCTCAATATTAACCATCCAGTCACTACCGTTTAACTAATAACTTTGAAAAAAAGCAAAATTTTACGAAGTTAAAAACGGAAAGTTGGGCAAACATTGCTGTTTTCTTTGTTAAATTTCGAAACAAACCGGACCAAATCAGAAATTTATTAGAAAAGATCTGCTTAGAAAATTAGCTTCCCAGTTGCTAGTCTTTAGTCAAAAAATTTGAAACTCGACTTATTTTTCTTTCTTGATTTTTCTTGATCACATCCAATTTTTTAAAACAAACGAGTTTTCAGCTCACTCACCACGCAACTCCTCGAAAATCAGATCTCTATGCCCACTTGCAGGTCGAGATTTTCTTCAGTTTCAAAAAGGGGCAATAGACGTTAAGTTGACACTAAGCTTTTTAGATACGAAATCCTTTCGGGAGGGCCAAATGGTAGAGTGGCACAATATGCGAGAATTGGTAAGAGAACAGCTTTGATGGTCTCGTCCATTACCAAACAAGTTTCTGCATTGACCCAATTTATCTTGAAACAGAGGTTTTCAATGTAGAGATTTATACTGTTAGAGCTCTAATGTCTCTAAAAGGCAATTTTGCAGGGAAATAATTCAATTTTGCAATTGTGCATCTAGTATTTGGTCACTAATTGCAAGTCAATGAATACAAGACTTGCCTAATACTTTAAGCTTACTTTTATTGTAAGATTGATAGGCCGTCAAAAAATTTATTGATTACCAAATAAGCTTCCGAATTGATCTTGTGTATGTTGAAACAAAGAGTCTCAAAGTTAAAGGGCCAGCTTTCAGAATGAAATTGTCCAAAGGATAAATTCTGATTGAAAGTTATTTTCGAAAGCAAGGCAACATTGAAACAAAGCAAAAAAGGCTTGTTTTAAATAGATCGGCTTTAAGCAGGGAGTCGTTGACTTGGGTCGCTCAAACTTGTTACTCAAACTGTGCTTGTGAAGTCTTGGCAAAGTCACTTTGGGATAGGCAAAAAGTATTTTTTTATCTTGAGCTGTTACAATAATGATCTTAAACTTAGCTGCTAGGATTTTGAAACAAAAAAATCTGAAAGTCAAAAAGAAATTATCCATAGGATAAATTCTCATTTAAAAACTGATTCAAGTAAATTTTGTGATTGAAACAATCAACAACAACAATGAAAAATGCTTGTTTCAAAGTGAAGTGGAGTTGGAAGTGGAGTTGCAACAAGCGGACGGTGACAAGAAGCTTCTGTCTTCACTTGTCATCATAGAAATATGCTTTTGAGATCTTGAAAAAGTTACTATGGATCTTAAATTGTAGAAAAAATTGTTCTTACGATTAGCTAATAGAATTGTTAGTTTCAATTTGATCAGCTACGTTCAATAAAAATCAGAAACAATAATGCGTCTTTGGCGTTTTTGAAATAACAATCCAAGTTTAGGCGAAGCCGTCTACCACAAATGGACTTGCCACGCCGATCTACCCGATGTCTATTGTATGCGCGTGCACTCGTGTACGGTAAGTTGGGAATAAAGAAAAAGCTGCTGCTTCCAACTTGATTGCCTTTTGTGGAGTCAGTGTAGAATCAAATAAAATGGCACGAACAAAAGACAAAAAAGACTCTGATTGGCAGAGAGTGTTGGGAAGGGAGTCTTGCCACTTTATAATGTTGGCGCTAATTCTGAAAGCTTTTAAATATTACTGTACATTCTAATACAAAAGGGTTTTGAAAAGAGAAAAAACTGGCATATTTTCAAATCAAAAATTAGAAAATTGCGTATGGTAAGTAGAAAAAAGTAAAGTTTCAACTTGATTGACTTTTGTTGGGAAAATGAGACTACAACTCTCGAACTCTTGATACTAAACAAAAAACAATGAAAAAGAACAAAGGACTCTCCTTTGTTGTGGCAAACTTGTTGTTTTGCAATTGCTAAATTTTGGATATTCGTATTCCAAGCTCAAGTGGGAAAAAAGCACAAGTTTCAAATAGTTCGGCTTTTATCGGGGAAATGAAGTTAGTTTCTTTTTATTTAAACCTTTAAAAAGACCAAAAAGACCTAATAAAAACAATCGTTTCAAATTGCTCGACTTCTGTTGGGAAAATGAGGGCACAATGATTGATTTACAGCCGGAGAAAGCAATCCTTTTAACAAAAGACAATCGGAAAGGATTGAAAAGAAACTAATTAGATTCTAATTGTTGAACTTGTTGCTTGTCCTTCAGAGTTTGTGAATCTTTAAGCACTTTCCACGCTAGTATTGTTTGAACTCGAAAAAATTTAACATATTCAAATTTGAAACACACTTTTTTCTTCAGGTAGTTGATGGTCAAGGTGGTCCCTCGGTCACTGTTCTTGATGCAAATGGGTTTGTTTTGAAAAGAAAAATTGCTCAGATTATTGAAAGTCTCATTTTCTGGTTGTTTTATGATGAAGCAACTTTTGAAAGAAAGAATTTTAGGTGTCAAGTCGACGAGTCGGTACTCAAAAACCTCGAGTACATAGACGATTTGAGCGCTGGGCAGGAGGTGCGATAAATTTGAAATGAGATTCCAAACATTCGGCAAATTCGTTTCCTAAAAGTCAATCATTCTCAGACAAACTACTTCACCTGTCAGTTTTCCCTCGATCACCCCAATTTTGGTATCACTCGATGAGGAATCACAAGGCTCAGTCAATGATACTAAAATTGGGTGGAATCGAATGAAAATTGATCACGGATTACGGTAGTTTTGGCTGAAATTGGTTCTTTTATCATTTAAAAATGAATGTTTCAAAAAATTGGTCGATAAAAGATATTCATTCAAACCAATCGGACGCTCATGTGTTGCTATTTTAAAAGGGAATTTTAAAGCCGCCTATGTTTTAGACTTTTCTCCTTTCAGGCCATGGCTTTCAAGTTCGCCGACCGGTCGGGCCTCTATTTCAATTGTCAAATCCAACTCACACTCAAGGATCGACAATTTGGGTGTTCCGTTTCGGTGAGTGACCCTGAACTGTAAGTCCGCAAGCGTTTGTCTCACTACAGTATCAAGGAATTTAAAATTTTGAAGTACTAAGTTTCTTGGGAGTAATATTTTGCAAACCAGCCACTTTCTTGAAACTGTTTTTGACAGCCAAGTGCAAGTGAGTGCAACTTTTGGATCGAGATCCAAGTATCCGAAAGAATTTGGCGTACAATTAGATTGTCTCAGATCACATACTAGCCAATCCGTTTCTCTTTGAAAGGCTTAAAGCTTGAAAAATGCGAAATTTCATCCTTTAAGTTTTCTGTAGAAACCAGTCTCTTGATTCACTTCAGTATCCCGGAGTAGAGTATTCAGTCTGAGTGAATATCTGTAGCTTCAATTGAACAATTTGAAAGATAGCCAGCTTTGTCGGCTGAATAGTTTAGATTCTGTAGGTGAGACAAAAAAATTGAGACTTAGGGCTTTACTAAAAAAGAAACCGTGTTTCAAAGCTGAAGGGGTTGAGTTCAAATTTAAGTTTGTAGTGTATCATGGAATAACGAATGAAAATAAACTGGTAAAAGGGAATTTCAAGTATCTTTGACGATTAACGCAAAGCCTTTTCAGCAACCCGATTGCTCACAAACCCCATACGGAGGTCAAATCGTCGTGCCCGCTTCAGCAACAGAAGCCGAGAGTTTAGAAGATTTCACAGCAATCGATCGTCAGTTGTACAAACTTAAATGTTCTTTCGAAAAAAAACCAAGTTTCAAAGAAGAGCCTATTCACTAGCTTAGCGAAAAATTAATGGCACGGCGTTGAATGGAATAAAGAAATATAAATAGCAAACTAGAAAGAAATTCAAACAAAGAGTGAAGTTTTACGTTTCAGTAATTTTATAATACATATTTCACTACTATTTGATTTAAAACTTCGATTTAGCTGAAGCCCTCGAGCACAAGAGTGGCTACACGGCACGACCCATCGCGAGTGACACAGAAGCTGGTTCGTTTCAAATTTTGACTATCCGACTTCACGATCCAAAAAAACAAATGCAGTTTAAAGCACTTGTACCGTACTTTGAGAATTTGCTGGGGTATCCTTTTCGTAGTTTCATTTAAAAGTAACAAATGCACCAATTGAACTACGACATAAGACATTTTAAACCCGTTTTAATGCTATTTTGCAGAAAAATAATTGGCCTTTCTAATGAAACAAATCGTAGTTCAATTGGTGCATTTGTTACTTTTAAATGAAACTACGAAAAGGATACCCCAGCAAATTCTCAAAGTACGGTACAAGTGCTTTAAACTGTTTTTGCATACAAACTTTTCCTGTAAAGCCTTGGAAGTTCCTTTATGGGTTAAGAAAATTTCGAGTTTCAACTTTATTAAGGCCAAATCCATGTAATTGGTGAATAATTCTTTTCGTTCTTTTCGTTCTTTTTCATACTTTCATTTAAAACTAACAAATGCACCAATTGAACTACGATTTGTTTCACTAGAAAGGCCAATTATTTTTCTGCAAAATAGCATTAAAACGGCTTTAAAACGGTCTTATGTCTGCATTTTTTTTTGGATTGTGAAATCGGATAGTCAAAAAGGTCGACGGCTCGATGCTTTAGACACTCGACGGTTTAGACACTTTAGCTAAGAAAATCTTTCTTGGTGTCAATTGATAAAAGATAGAGCACAAAAGGTTTGATATATAGCCAAATCTTCAGAGAAATTCATTCAGCCAATTTCTTCGTAGAGGTTTTTATAGATTTTTACGAAAAACACTTTTTTCACTCTCGAATTTGCTTGAAAATGAACCGAAATTGACTTAAAAAGATGGGAAATTGAACAATAAACACTCTTTCTTTAAAGAAAACTATCGGTTAATTGGTGAATTATTTTTCAATGAAAGTACAAAAAGGAACGAAAAGACTGAAAAAATACCTAATATCTTTATTTAATAGCTTTAACAACAAATTCCGTACATGATTGCTTGCAATGCTTGAAAATTTACTAAACTCAAATCTTATTAATTATAAATGAACCAAGATTTGTTTACTTTCAGGTCTTGACACCGCATCGACGTATCGGGAAACGAAAACGACGTCAGCTTATCGAAAAAATTGTGAGTTTCAACTTTACTAAGGACAAACCGTCGTCAGACCCTTTAATTCATGTTGGGTAAAATACTATTTCATTTTGTTTCCTTTTCATTTTGTTTTGACAGGAGTGTCGTGACTTCCCAGTAACCTTCCCTTCTATCTAATTTTGATATTCTCCTAATTTCCCCTTCCCTTCCTTTATCGGGGACGTTTACTCGTCCCCGATAAAGTTTCTACTAATGATTTCAAGGAAATCATGTGTAATTAACACAATTGGAATTGTAAACGAGGAAACCGTGCCCAACTTTTCTCTAATAAACCATCTACCTAACCAGTTAAACCACCTCTAAATTCAGCTCAAGCTCAACAATCAACATCTCCATATTTTGCTGGTCAACAGGTTCGTAGATTTTTCTATTGTCTTGCAAAGTTTGTCTTGCACTTTTCAGATTGTCAAAGCTGCATGATGACATTTTTTCAATTTTTAGCATAAAACTTTTGCTGAATGCCTTTTCTAACATTTCCCTTCTCTATGTATGTTTTTGTTCACTTCAGCAACACCAAGCCCATCCACCGGGCGTTTCCCCGACGGATTTCGATCGGATTCGCTCGAAATTCCAACACCACGCGCAACAGCGTCGAAGAGAGCATGTGCATGTGAATGCGAGAATTAATCGGGTTTCTAATTTATCGCCTATTAACAAGTCAATGCACAAGTGAAGCTAATGTCACTTTAAAATTTAGGGATACGAGACAGGCGGTGAGGTGAATGAGGAGCGATTTGCGGCCGCGAAGGCGAAGAGACATTTGGGTCAGTTTTTGCCTAACCAGGATCTACCAGGATCCACATTTGACTTCTGAGTCTATAAAGTTTGAAACAAGTAGCAATTGGTTCAATATTGGTTGGCAGAACTTGCATTTTGACCGAGCAAAACTTGAAACATAAGTTTTACTTTGACTTGCAAACAGTTAAATGAGACAAATCTGCTTGGGTAGCTCTAAAAAAAAATTGTAAAATATCGAATAAAAATTGGCTTTCCAGATAAAGACATCGTAGCTGATTTCGATTTGCCACAAACGAGTCTTGTCGTTTTCGGATTAGAAGATGAGGAACCGATCGGCGACCATTCGCCGCCCACAAAAAGTTTGTGTTTCAAAATGAGCATGGGGGACTGCTAAAGCATGGATGTAATATGTAAAGGATTTTTTAAAATTCAATGGTGTCAATTTCTGTTCCGACCAAAGTATCAAATGATTTGTTTTAGTCAATGAAATGAGAAGTCATCTGGCCGTCACGAATGAGATGGCCTGTGTGCGAACAAGTTAGTTTCCAATTGTTTAAGCTGAAAGCAAAGCTTTGCAAATTGATGTCTCTCGAGATAATAAGCAGATCAAGCTATTTGATGACTAACCAGTACTGGTTAACGACCCCCCAAAAAACGGTGACGAACAGACAGACGGATGCGCTAGACTTTTAGATTTGGGACACCCTGTACTTTGGACTTTATGGAGATGAGACCAGTTAAACTTTTTAGAATAAGCTGCTATAATTTGAATGTTTCAAATAAAAAGGCTACATGTCTCATTGTAAAACATTAATTAGATAAAATTCATTTTAAACAAATTTGCAGCCCGTTTATGGCTCTCCATCTCCTTATGTCTGATGGCGTTTTTCACCCTTTTCACCGCGCTTTTGCTGGTGATTTGGCGGCAAAGGAGTTTACTGAGAACATCGTCTTCGTTTCAAGTAAAATGAAAATATCCTTTCCTCTGTATCCTATTGGTATAAGACTACGGTGGCTCAATGTTATTTTCACAATTCGAATGTTCAGTTGATTTTATTAAGCTTTGCATCTATTTATTGATCGCCCCAATTTTGAAAATTCATTTTTTCTAGTATCAATTCTTTTTGCTTGCCTTTACTGCTAAAGTTTGTAAGATATTGTAAAAGTCGAGCCTCGCTACAGTATAAAAAATCAAGTCAACAAGACTGATCGAAAGACTGATGTTTCAAGTTTCAAAAGGTCTATTGAGGAATGGACAACCTAGTGTAAAAAGTTGAAGTTGAAGTGGTCAGATCGCGTTTTTCCACTGTGCACCTATTGACAATTAGATCGACAAATGAACAGCTCCATTTTGTAGTGAGGCAAGAGGCTGGACTTTGCTGAATTTGAGACTTTTGTTGCATACCAAAATCGTTTTTTTAAGTTGACAAATTTTTCCATATTTTCACCATTTCACTTTGACACTGGTCAATCTTCAACTTCTGCATCTTTCTTTTTGAACTGCAATTTAAAAACATATTTGTTTAATCATACCTATTTAAGCAATTGAGAAAATTGAGAAGCATGGTAAAAAACCATTAAGAAAATCATTCTCTATTTCAAGATGAATTCTTTGAAACACAAATCCCTTTTTCATATTTTCTTCTTCGTTTTAATTGATTCGATTCGCCTTTTATTTGCTTTTATTGGCTTCATGGAGATTTTTGCATTGAATCTATATTTTCAAAGAAATGAATAAATGAAAATAAATCTTTATAAACTGTTCCCCCTTGTTTGTTGTTTGTTCAGTGAAACCCGTTTAGCCGCTCAAAGATTGAAACTTTATTTTTGAGTCTATCCGATTGTAATTCTGTAGACGAAAAGCATCAACAAGTACAGACGTCCAAATGTTTACAGGGTTTTTGGATAATTGCTGCCAAAATACTAAGAGCAGACAAGAATAGCAAGTTTGATCAAAAAGCAGCTCATGTTCTTCTCAATTCGAAGAATTCACTTTTTTGGTTTTGAGCTGAGAGTAAAAATCGGAGAGTAAACAGTAATTTAAGTAGTCAAAAATAGCATTACAGAACTCGCATTACAGAATGTAGCGACATTGAACAAAAGAGCCTAGCAAAGCCAAAACCAATGGCTTTTAATTGGCCTTTCCCACAAATTTATAGATTTGACCTAATTTGACCTATTAAGTTGGCAAGTTCATATTTGTCAATTCTATTTTTCTTTTCAACCTTTCTATTCAAAAGCACAATAGAATTAAACAATCCGAACTTCATAAGTTGTCAGCCTAATGAAACCTTGGCTTTGGCTTGGCTTCACCTACAATTTGTAGAATTTATGAGAAATTGAGATCCGCGAAACTTTAGAAAAGTGCACTCTGCATATAACTTCAAATCTATTAGAGCTTTGTCAAGTCTGTCAATTTTCTAGGCTTTAATACAAGCTCTCTTTAGCTGGCTTTAATACAAGCTCCCGAATACTGGATGAGTTGAAAAGTGAATCGAAGTTCTCCCCCCACAAAGTCAACATGTTTTCAAATGAGTGTTTCAAAATATTCACAATCTGCTCAAAAACCCTTCCCGAGTCGATGCTTTCCCCCAATCACCGCCAATTAACGGGGGATTTACGGTGACGAAGCTTTGCCCAACAATGTTCCGCCATTGTGTTCCCAAAAATTGTTGAACCCAGAAATATCATTTCTGCTTTGGAAGACCTCTAAATGATCTTGTTTTGACAAAACCGAGTATTTTATTTTTCTTGAAACTTGTTATTTTCGCGGTGGATTAGAGCTGTATATTACAGTCTGTGCTGGGCTTGAATCGCTTGATTTTGAGGCTATTAGAGAGTTTTAAAGTATACCGTAGTCTGTCTTTGTTAACGATTACAGTCTAGACATACTGTAGTCTTGTCGAGAAGTACTGTAGTTTAGTTTTGTGTTTATTAAAAGTGTGATAAGGATACCGTACGGTATGGAATGAGTTACTTTTGCTATTATTATAAATTTCCCTTAGACTCTTTTCACATTCTTGCTAGACTTGAAACATCTCTTTTCATCGAGTATATTGTTTCACTTTTCGTTTTACTTTTCTATTAACTATTAACTAATTTTCTGCACTCAGGTTTAAAAATGAGATCACTCCTCGTCATTTTCGCTCTTTTCGCTTGCAGTTCACTAGCTTTTGTCGTTGAAGAAGTTTGTGTACAACGAGCTTTCGGAACTCTTCTCGACGCTGAGGAAATTGCAAATGTGAATTTTAAATGACTTTTAGGTAACTCGTTCGAAAAACTCATAATCTGAGTTTCAAAAAAGTGTGATGTGTTCAATGAGATAAAAAATTTCAGTTAACGGTCGCTTTCTCTTCACCGAATCGAAGAAAGACCGTGGTGGCCTATGTGAAATCGTTGCACCTAGGCAATTCGACACAAAAGAAAGTGATGCACGAAGTGTGCAATATGTTCCAGAGTCGGGTCAGTTAAAAATCAGGCATCAAAGATATCAGGGAAACTAGTCATGTTTCAAAATAAAATATATGCAAATTTAGAGCTATGATTAATTCTGGTTGATGCCTGCAAAAATTTCAGATCGCATTCGCCGAGAATCTCGCACGGAATTTTTTCAAATCTGTCGGAAAAGTGCTGAATGATACGCAGATGGCAGCGGTTGGTTGGGAAAATTGAGTTTCAAGTTATACGGGGTCTAAGTTAAGATGGATTGGTCTATTGAGGAATGGACAACCTAGTGTCAAGGGTAGACGTTGAAGTGGTCAGATCTCGTTTTTCCACTTTTAAGATGGATTGTAGTATAGATGCAGGATTGGATGCGCTGTCATCAAAGAAAATTCATCCCACTTTTATCAATAAAAACAAAAAGTTTTTCAGCTTCACAGCCGCTACATCGCCGATCTGAAATCGTTTAATTGTGACGTCACAAAGGTTTTCGGGGATCTCTACTCGTGGCTGGCTGAACAGGTAAAAAACGAATAGGTGTTAGATAAGTCTAGTAATTTGAATTGAAAGTTAATTTTAGCTAGCTTTGTGCTCTTGTTTTGTTGATTTAAAAGCACAAAGAACAATGAAATTCAATGTAAAGAAAGAGCACCGCTAATAAATGAATCTGTTTCTCATTCAATTTGAAACTTATCCCTTCACCTCCCATTCCTCAATGAGTATTTCCCCTCGAGACACCAAATCGTTGCTTTGAGGGGAAATGGAAGAATTAAGTGCGCCAGAAAGGAGATGTTTACGGGATTTGAGAGCTCAAAATGCCGTACAATAGCATTACAGTACGCCTCGGATCCATCCCTTCAACAAACCGTCCAGAACGCAGCCAATAAAGTGCTGCAACGTTTCACGAAAACGAGCGAATCGATGAGCAAACTCGTCAAGTATATGAGCTATTTCTTGACGCCAAGCAATAGCAGTAGTAATGGAAATGGATAAGAACAACAACAATAATCATTGATCCCTTTGAAACCGAAATTTTTATACTTTCTGTGAAACCAGTTGTTTTTGTGCTTTTATCAATTAAACATGCTCTTCACAAATCAAAATAAAACCTAAATTTTGCATTTTGAATAAATCTTCAGGTATTACATTGCCCAGAATTGAAACAATATTTCACTGCAAAGAGTCGTTCAATCTCTATAGAAGATATTACAGAAATCCGTTTGTTATTGCACGTTTGTTGCAGTTGTTCTGGAGTTGGCCCAGCATTTAGGAAACGGGTTACGGTAACCTATCTATTATTTTGAAACTTCATGGCGGATTACTGTAGTTAACCAAGCATTTAGAAAACGACTAACTATTATAAACTTATCTATCAGCTATCAAATCTCAAAGGTTACTGTGTCTTTATCCGAAGCTTCCCATTTCATTTTATCACAAAGCCGAACAAAAATACATGCAAAATCGAAAAACTGTTTATTCAATTCTAAAAACAAATGCGCACATTCAGAAAAAATTGTTTCACATTTCATTGTCGGCTTTTTTCTTTGATGTGTCGAAATTCTCCTCTCACCTTTACTCACCCGTTTATCACTTGTTCGACTTTTTCGAGGCTAAAAGGCAAAATTAGCATCATGTTCATTGTTATTTTCTAAAAGACACTCATTTCAGACGAACTACCGTAATCCACCCGCCAGTTTTCCTTTCACTCAGCCCAATTTTGGTATCAATCGATGAGGAATCCCAAGGCTCAGTCGATGATACCAAAATTGGGCTGGTCGAATGAAAAATGGCGGGGGATTACGGTCGTTTGTCTAAAAATGGGTGTCTTTTAGAATTAGCTCCAACAAATCCACCATCCAATTGTCCGTGTCCAAAATTGATGTAGTTGGAGCTGGAGGGCGCCTGGCGTTTGTCCGTATAGTCGTCCGCCTGAAAAAGAAACATTATTCACATAGTGCAAGTACTTATGATACTTAATTCATCAACTAAAATTCTTCTTCCAAAACCAAAACTTCGCATTTCCCACCTTATTTGGGAGTCCTTTGGTGCGGAAGCGGCGCTCTTGCATGTAACGTTTCTAAAACAAAAATGAGTAAAGACTTTAGATACAAAGATTAGAAACGTAAAACTTATCATCCATAATCAATTTAAAGTGTTTGCTAGATAACTAGATAAAAAATTGTCACTCACCAGAGTCCTCGAGTGATTGTGGCTCTCAGAAGATGGCGACTCATCCTCGGTGGGCGCTCGCTTAGCACCGATTGGCGTAATGGAGGTCTAAAACAATGAGAAATTATACTGGCAAATAGTATGGATACTTAAACTTAATACAACACCAGGTTAATACACCAAACTGGTGCCAATTACAGAAATTGGTATTAAGCCACTCAATAACAAGGATATGAAACAGATCAAGCTAACCAGAGTTTTTTTTTTATTTTTCTGAGCCAGGCCAGAAGCCAGATCCTGGCCTTGCTGCAGGCCCGGCCCACAAAAGCCCTAACTCAGCAAAAGCTTGACCCACTTAGTAAAGCTAAGCCAGGCAATCCAGAAACCAGGCCAGGACCTGGCTTTAAGTCGGGCCCTGGTCTAGCTAGACTTACAAGTTCTAGGACCCGATCAGAACATCCCTACCATTCACCAATTTATGCACCAATCCACAAAACCATCTCCCACTTTTCCAGTGCCGCCAGACTTGATGCCGGAGGTGTGCTCGTGCTTCAAGTCCCTCTTCTCGTTCGTCTGATTGCTCGTGTTGCCGCCCAATAGTTGGCCGCTTCCCTTTGTTCTCTAAAGAAAATATATTAATTTGATAAAAATATGAAATTCAATTTCAAATATCCCACCACATCCCTCGACACCTCGCCGGCGCTCATCCTGTTCCCCTGTGGCACCGTTGGGAGCAGATCCTCGCTCTTGCGATTCTAAAACACACAATCATCATAAAGTGCATAGTATAGTACGTACTTAAAGTACATATTTTTTAAAAATACAAATCACCGAACCTGTGAAACATTCCGATTGTCGACGAAAAATGATGCGACCGTCTCGAAGGCCGGTTGTCGCTGCTGCCCGGCACTAAATCAACGAAAAAGTTTTATGATTTACAATAAAATTGCGTTTTCTACAAGTATGATTTACAGTTGATGCCGAAAGTTCGACATTTTTAACCTAACCACAAAAAAATTGCCCGACCTCCTCGCACTTTTCATCACCTCGCGCTCCGTCGTCAACTCTCGTTTCTTCTTTCTAAAATTTAAACTATTAAAAATTAAGATTCATTATACTACTTTAACTGCCAATGAACAAGGTCAAATAAAAATTCGAAACCTACAAGGCCAGGTACCAATCCTTGTAGAACCACTTTCGGAACACCACACACAGGAGCAACGAGACGAGAACGCTAAAGAAAACCGAGTTGAACGGTTTCATATTTTACTTATGACAAATCTAAACACTTATCGAGTCCTAGCAAAAGGATCTAGCCTAGTTCTTAAAGAGCAATAGCAACGAACCCAATGGTGAGACCGAGTAGAAACGCGGGCACGGCCATCCACCACGGAACCGGTCCACCAGCACTGTACTCGAGGTCTTTGATCTAAAAGATAATTAATGAAAATTTTACATATCATACATTGTGTATTACATATATTGTGTTGCTATGCTATGCTATACGAGTGACCTAAGATCGTATTTAAAGTCATAAAGAGCCAATGAGTGCCAAGTTTTGTTATATGTACGCAAGTTATCTTGCAAACATTGACTTCACAATTGTGTTTGACTAAACTTATTGCCAACCACGTTTTCCATTTCAACTCTCTTTTAAAAAGCACAAAGAATAGTTAAGGCAAAAGCCTCCTCTTCATTGTGGTACTTATTTAATTATGTAAGCGTTTTTTTGCATTTTGCAACAATCCTGGTAAAATGATTTTTTTGATTGAGAACAAACATCTACGAAGTATTAAAGACTTTTAAAAGTGTTATTCCAAGGATGAACTCAAAACTGACCATAATTTTGACGGCCCGCTCGTCGAGTGCCAATTCGGGAAGACACCAATCGGTGGTGGCCGGTGTTTTTTCAGCGCTCGTTGTCGGCTCCGTCGTCGATGATGGCGGTTGCCTAAAAGAAAAATGTAAGAATTGTACATCAATGGACAATTTAAACTGACAAAGTTTCTACACGGCTTAGAGAACTAAAATCATAAATAATATCAAATACCCACTGTTCATCAATTTTTCGTAGTCCACGCAAGTGGCCTAACTTCGTCGTCTCGTTGAGGGTGAGCTGAAAAATGAATGTTGAAACAAAGCTGATAGTTCAATGTTTGAAAAAGCTAAATTTCTTAAATAGCTATACAAAAAATTAAATTAAAGCGTACATAATGGTCAAGAATTAAGATTTTCCACTCAAAATCGCCAAAATGCGAACCTTTTCCCCGATCGCTCGACCACACACACAAAACATGAGCAGCACTTGCAAAACGACAATGTTCCGCATCGAAAATGGGAAAATTAAGTGAAAAGTAAAAATTGAATGGCAAACCTCAATCGAAAGAAGCAGCTTAAGAAAATGATTTGAAAAGTTTTTCGCGGGAGATTTCGACGGACATTTCGACCGACTTTTAAATGCTAATTTTCTTGACTCGTGTCATACATTTCATTTTTTTTGTGCTTTAGTTTTTCATTTTTTCAACAATTTTATTTTTAAAACTAACATTAAAAGAAATCACAAGAATTCATCAGTTTCATCATCTTATCCACGCTCATTCAAATCGATGTTTCTTTCTGTTGTGAAAAGAGAATCAAAGAAGAAACGGGTTCTAGAGTAGAGAAAGGGAAAAAGAATGAAAGAAAAGATATTCAGAGAAAAAGGAGACCTCCAGGCGAAAGACTGAATAGCTTTCACCAAAGAGGATAAAGGAGACGAGGCTGAGCGCCTCGTCCTCGTTTTCTTTTGCTCTCTTTTGCTCACAAACAGTCTCTCCTTGTCTCTTCTGTCTCCTTGGCTGACTTGCGGAGCTCTATGGATTGAAATTATCCAATGCTTGTGCTTTTTTCATTTGATTTTGAAAATTTCCGCATTGATTTTTGAAGAAAGTCAGCAAATGCACATGCTCTACGATTGTTGTCGAGCCTATTTTATGAAATTGTTCGTAAAATGGACACAAAATTACCTCAAGACTCGACAACAAATTACACAAAGGGGGGTGGTCAATATCCTTATCAATTTGTCAACTCCTTGAACAAAAAATGATATGTTTTAATTGATCGATAATGATATGTTTTAATTGATCTAATTCAATCACAATCAATTCACAAATTTATTTGTAGATCAAGATATTGACCACCCTTCATTTGAAGTTAAATTAACTATTTTGAAACTTGTAAATTAAAAAATTACCAAAAACTCATTACAGGTAAATTTGGTGATCTGTATTATATGAAAATATTTTAAATTAGCCTTTTAAAATCTTCCACTTGAATCCTTGACGTGATTTTGTCGTTTCATTATCGGACAAGGCTTCGCTTCGCGAGCTTTTTCCAAGATTGTTAATGTTTCCATTGGTACTCATCGGTTTCCCCATTAACATTCTTTTTCCAAATGTTCCATACATGATATTGTTGACTTTTTCTGTGGAATAAATATCATGAATGTATAGGGTGTCCAAAAAAAGTAACTTTGCGTCAAATTTCTAAAAAGCTTTAAGTGGCTTAAAGTGGTATGGTAGAAAAATGATTTTTTTGGGGTCGCAAATTTTTGATCTTTTGTCATGATTTGTATCATATCATGATCTTCTTATACAAAAAAAATCGCATACCATCATGGTCACCACCACCATACGGGCCACCACTATGAGATTTTTGCCATAAAATTAAAACTTTCTACTGTCACCGTGTGTCATATTAGAGTTAATATATAAACTAAGATTTTTAATTAATCATTTACAATGAGACATGTAGCCTTTTTATTTGAAACATTCAAATTAATTGGCTATTGAGTTTTAATTTTATGGCAAAAATCTCATAGTGGTGGCCCGTATGGTGCGAAAATGATTTTTTGAGGTCCAGTAATTTTGCTATTTTTTCATGCTTTTTACCATAACATGCCCCTCAATGCATGAAATTTCTGAGCCACCATCGTCACCACCACCATCAGACTTTTGCCATAAAATGAAAACTTTCCACTCGCATCGGGGTGTCATATTAGAGTTAAGATATAAACTAAGCTTTTTAGCGAAACACTTTATTCATCTACATTATATGATAATCTGTCGTACATAAGAGATTTTCAACTCGCCTTTTTTAAAGAAGTGTCCCCTTTTTCCAAGGAAACGCTGATCAATAAAGTGTATGGTTTAAATTTGTAGTTATCTTAATAGTAATATGACACCCCGGTGACAGTAGAAAGTTTTAATTGTATGGCAAAAATCTCATGGTGGTGGTGACAATGATGGTATGGGAATTTTTTTTGTATAAAGGATCATAATATGATACGAATCATGACAAAAGATCAAAAATTTGCGACCCCAAAAAAAAAATCATTTTTCTACCATACCACTTTAAGCCACTTAAAGTTTTTTAGAAATTTGACGCAAAGTTACTTTTTTTTCCGGCACCCTGTATTTTGCAATGTTTCATTTGAAGCCAAGCCAAGCCAAGCTTTTGATTCCTTTGAAACTTGTAACTTACACAAAACTATTCTTATGCCATAAAATTATTTCTACACTTGTCACTGCAATGATTATCATTTATTGACAATTATCCGCCTGAAGTCACCTTGTTCTCTTTGAAACCTTTAACTTAAAACGAAGTCACGAAACTTTAAGAATTAAGAATTAAGACTTTAAGAATTAAATCCTCTACTTAAGCATTGACCACCATCAAATTGGAGTCACTTGATTTTTTTCAAACCTATAACTGAAAACAAATTCACTAAATTGTATGTTGTATCTGAAATGTGCTGCCTTAAGAGATACGATGAAATTAAACCGGTTTAAACCCTAGCAAGGTATTCGTGATTCTTCATTGCTGAATCAGCCTTCCTAAGCATTTTTGTGGGATTCGAAATTTCGTGGATAACTCCTAAACGCGATTTTCAGTTAGACTTTTTGTGATTCTTTTCCTTTTTTCCCCTTTTGCGATCGTTCTTCCCATTCCTCGCTTCGCTTAAATTTGACCTTTCCTCCTGATTTGAATCACAAACTTTTCGGTCAAGGCTCTTGTCACATCGATCTTTGGTTTACCTGCAAAATTTAGAATTTAAAACAGAATTTCTTTTAGCACAGGATTCCAATCTAGGAATATTTTTGCCTATTTAAAACTGATGTTTCAACCTTATTAACTTTAACTTTCTCTCTTCTTGATTAATCGATATTTAGGGTAGGATATGAATTAATTGAAGTGAGAATTTGATTGACTATGCCTTTGTTTTGAAATTTGCAAATAAAATGTAAGCATTTTAATTCTTCAAAACTAATGTTTCAAGTTTTGCAACCTAAAGTTTTACTCTCATTTCATAGTCAACTTGTGTCCAGCGCCTTCGTTAAGGTTCATTTTCATTGGGGGGTTTTCAACTCGAGTGCGATTTAATATTGAATTTTTCAATTCAAGCAAATCTCTTATTCTGGCATCCATTTCCTGTTGCAAAACAAGTGTTTCTACGATTCCTGAATGCGATTTCAGTTTTCATTTCCTTTTTGACTCGACTGATTCCTAATTGGCACATTCTTGTCGGGGAACACTCCCGACTAAAACTAGCTTGATTGTTCATTGGTAAAGTTTTAGGTTTAACAACAAGAAATGGAAGCAACATATGCCTTTGGATTGTCTTATGAAACCCACGCAGTTCTCTCAATTTTCCTTCACTTAGCCGGCGTCCTTTTTTGGGATTTTCGTTTGGCATCTTTTCCCGAAAAATGTAAGTTTCAAATTGATATGGTGATTAAAAATGAACTTGTCTAATTAATAAAGAATTTGCAGGCCTCAAAGGTTATCAAACTCAATGTTGATCAAGATATTCGAACTAATAATCTTAGGCAAATTAATTGATTAGCTGTATCATTTTGAAACGATTTCGAACAAAAAATGTTGTTTTTAAAGTGAATGACTGTTCTGTGGGAAAATTGATTTTTATAAAACGAATAACCGTGACTATTTAGCAAGTAAGAAACTCGTTAAAACAAACCGATCTCCTCATTTTCTACTACGTTTTCTGAAAGGTGTCCCCTTTTTACCGTAATCTGTCTCTATTTTCTATCCAATCACTTTTTGTATCTTTTGATATTCAGAATCAGAAAAAAAAAGTTGATAGATTTGATAAAAATAGAGGCAAGATTACGGTAGAAAGAGGAAAGGGGACACATTTTAGGGAAACGGATTAGAAAGGGGTACTCTAGGACTCTAGGCCTTTGAAATCGAGTAAAATCCAACTCAAAAGAGCCAAGGAATAGGCTCCCGAAAAAGTATTTGTTTCACGCAAACGAAAAACTACCCGACGAAAAGCCTATTCAGTCTTATTAACTTTGAAACTTATTGTTCATTTTTAAAAATTTGCTCTAGAATTTTTTAATGAATGAAAGCTGAAAACTACCGTAATATATAATTGCAAGAGTTAAATAGTTTTAAAATCGAAACTTTAAACTATTCAGCCAATTCGGTACATCACACAATTGCCGATCGAAAAAGTGTCACTCACCATCGAGCCGTTACCCGGGGAATTCCAAGGAAAAGGCGACAAATCGACGAGATTCCTTAGAACCGCTGGATAATTATTTTATGCTATTTTAGTTTGATATTCATTTTATGTTAATTTTTAAACATTTTCGAATTCTATATCCTCTATTCTATGACTTTACGGGTGAGCTCTCAATAAATGACTCTTCAATGGGATTTCTTAAACTAAAGAAATCCTTATTTTAAACTTTAAAACACAAAATCACAGCTTTTTCATGTGAATTTTAAATTTTATTGTTTAAACTTTTTAATCTAATTGCTTTAGTTGCTAAAAAAGTCTTTTGTTTGCCTTTTTAATAACTTTTCTAGAAGCTATGAAATCCTTTGAAAAATTCAAGTTTCAAATTAAGCAACTTCATGCAACGGTTGGAAAAATCAATATAGCAAACTCTCGACAATCAGAAATTTTACATAGAAAGCTAAGGCTTTTGGCTTTTGACCCACAAAGGCTTTTGGACTAGAGAATTTAGACCTGAACCTAAGCTGGCTTGACTTACAAGCCCTAGAACTCGGTTGTAACACCTTAACGCAAACTTAAAGCACAGAAGAACTCATTTTATACACAAATATTCTATTAAGCACACCCAATACGAGTACGTAAATGTACGCATATTCCGGGAACAGCTAGCCCAATAAACTTATATTTTTCTGATCTCTGAATAAATTCCTATTTTGAGAAGATTTTCGTAGGAATCCCCGTTCATTAAAGTTCTTTTCTTTTAAAGCTTCAATCAAGTCTTTTATGGGCTTTAAATAAGGAAGAGCTCGAGTTCCAAGATTAGAAGTTAGCTTTTTTAGCTTTTTTATAGTTAGCGTTATAAGGCTTTTTTTTACAAAAATTTACGAGAAGGCAAAGTAAAGATTTATGATTTATGATCTTTTTTTGAGCTACACCGACGCTTACTCTACAATTACCTCTACAATTACCAGATAGTAATGTAAAGTAGTGAAAATAAAAAAAAAATGGAAACGAGAATATAGAAAAAAGAAGCAAATTTCAAGGTTGGCAAGGTCGAAATGAGTTAAGAGTCTTCGTAGCGTACTCCTGGTAGTTAAAAAGTTAAAAATGTCTTTTAGTCTCTAGTGTAATGGGTTTGAATAAATATTTTATTCGATGGTTGAATCAAATCTTCGAAACGGATCCCTTTGATCGAACGAGGGCCTCTTGTGTGGCCGTCATGATCACTCGACCGTCTCGACTCCACATTCGACCCTCCGTGAAGCCACGGGAGCCTCCTGAAAATGCAAAAATGCAAAAATTAAAGTCTAGCTAGTTTCTCGTGTACTTGGTGCTTTCAAATCCCCGTAAACACCGCCTTCTTGGCGCACTAAATTCTTCCATTTTCTCCTTCCACAAAGGGAAAATGGAAGCATTGGTCATTCCAAAATGCTCTGCCATTTGTCAAAATTGAAACACGAACTTGCTTTATCAGACCGACATTCATAGAGCATCCAATCATCGGATTTCACAATTGGCTCGTGAAACCAAACACAGTGATCCAAGGAGAAAAGCATTGAAAACGAGAAATCGTTGCTGAAATCGACTTTGTTTTTCGTTTAAATGTAAATTCTGTAAATTCTTTTCATCTTCTTTAAGAACTCACATCAAATGCGGCAAATAAGCCGATCCAGCCAGCACCGAGTCAGACGTGAATGCCAACAAGTATCGGTGTAACCGCTCGGAGCACGATGGAACGGGGAACTGAATCGAGAACGATGCAAATAGCATTCATTTCAGACGAACTACCCTAATCCATTCACTATTTTTCATTGGATCAGCTCAATTTTGGTATCATTAACTGAGTCTTATGATTCTTCATCGAATGATACCAAGATTAGGCTGATCGAAAGGAAAAATGACGCGTGGATTACGGCAGTTTTTCTAAGTAGATGTCTTTTAGAAAACGGATTTAAAGAAATTTGCTTTATCGGAAAAAATGTTTCAAACTAAACGACTCTAAAGACTCGTTAGTAAATGAATCGTTGAATAGGCAAATTTCACGATCTACGCTGAAAAGGCTTAAAATTAGCTCAAATTCAGCTCCTACTTGTGTTTTCATCCAAAAGCACACGGTTCTCGAGGTGGACGGCTCCGAGAAACCCAAATGTGTGTCGGGAGCAACGCAGCGAATCTGAAAAGTTCAAATTTTCAACATTGCTAACTTTTTCTATTACACTAAATAACAGTTAGTGATGAAAAGCAGTTAAAACTTTTGGGAAATAACTATTTTATAGAGTTTCTACTTAGCTTTACCTCAAAAAGGCCCCCGTCCGAATCGAAATTTTCGTATTCTATCTAGAAATTAAAGTTTGAAGTTAAATACCTAAACAACTAGCTCAAAACTCGATTTCTTTAGCATTTCAAACTCCATTTCCTCAGGGACTAATTAGAAATGCTAATTTCATATTTCTAATCTCATTTGAAAGCGCTCAATTTAAGCTTTCAAACAAAAACATGTTCAAAATTAGAACTGATCAAGAATTTCTAGCCGCTAATCTTTTCAGAATACACTATGCTGCCTGTATTATGCAAAAATGCACCTCAAAAAGATCCCCATCCGGGTCGTAGTTTGCCTGAAACTCCAGCCGCTTTCGCTGCATCTCCGTCACAGTTACTTCCCCAGCGGCAACCTGAACGATGGTAATGCTTTTAAAACCATTCAATTTAGATTATGTTTTTGAAAACCATTCAATGTCCTCAACAAAATATTATTAAAAATCCCATTTTATTGCCTGAAGTCTTAACTTTGAAACTTCAACATTCTCAACCAGATAGATAGACTAGGTAGGCTTACCTACCCAGAAAGATCAGATTAGATTTGCAGATCAGGCTCATATTATACTAAAAGACGCATCTTGGACTCCTCTACAACATTTTCTTTTAAAAAATCACGAAAGTTTAAACCCAATGAGGGAACTGCTACTATAATATATGGGCGTTTTTGGATCCATAGATCCGAGTTTTTACTTGAATGGCTACTCTATAAGATTCTAATTGGTTTTTAGTTTTTTTTTATCATTTATCCTTAAACCCACCTTTTCTAAAGTGAAAATGGCAAAATCTCGATTCGTGACGCACTCCTCGGGCGGTGGCACGTCCGGCATTTTCGCCTCGTGAACCACCGAGTCGGGCTCGTTCTAGAATCATTTTTCGTTATCATTTCCAGCATCTAATTACCATAGCTATCTCATTCTAAAGCTAAAATCTGTTTAAACGATGTTTAAATTGTTAAACGATCAATATCTGATCTTGAAATGTGATATGAAAGAACAGATATTACGGACAAGTACAAAACTAAGTTTCAAAACATATAAATGCAGGTCGGAAAAAGGAACTTTAATAGAATCCTCTGCGCAGATTACTTTAGAGTTTTGTTTTCATTTTACAGTTATCATTTTCAATAAGCCAGAATGCTTTGCTTAGAAGTTTGAATACTTTGTCTCAAAGTGAGCGTCTGCAAAGCTAACTACTAATCTTGGAACTCGAGCTCTTCCTTATTTAAAACCCATAAAAGACTTGATTGAAGCTTTAAAAGGAAAGAATTTTATGTCTTACTCACCACATGAAATGAGACTTGCAAACAGAAAGCGACTTTCCCATTCTGAATCGCCTCCACGGTCCGCGTGCAAAACGATTTCCCGTCTCGCAATCGACGCACATGATACTCACATGGGATTCGAGTGTCAACTAAAAGATTTCAGACTCTATTTAGTCTGCACTTCCTAAAAGCACCCCATCTTAGACAAACTACTGTAATCCACCAGCCACTAAACCTGAAATTCGTCATTTTGAATGAATCAAAAAAAGGATTACTCTCATTTCTTTCAGGTGTACTTTGTGCTCTTTTAAAACCTATAAACACACCGCATTTCCATGAATTCCTTCAAAAACGAACCATTCAAGATGAAGAAGGAGTGTGTGGCATGTGGCTTGAAACGTTCCTCCACCGTTTTTTCAGCTGCACAAAGGGCCTAAAATGGTGGAAATTTTCAAGTTTCAAGGTAAACAACATTTAGAATTATTGGACATTATTAGTTCCTTAATCCAAGCGAAAATTCGCTTTTCAAAAATTTCGAGGCTTCACTTTACCTGTGAAAAGATGAGTCCACCGTAGGCTGCATGGACTGCAGCTCCGCGTACCGTTGAGAGGTTTGGAGTGCTGAAAATTTTAAAAATGCTAGGGTGCTGTAGAATTGCAGGATTTTTGTAAAAGTTATTCGGCCAAATTATCAGTTATCTAGTTTTTCAAGAGTTTTCGATTAAAACTCACTTAGGCTGCGCTAGAAAACAGACAACCAGAGGTAATCAATGTAACAAAAAAAATTAAAGTTTCAAATTTAACATATTTAAGAGAACTATTAGCAAAATAATTGTTCCCCAAAGTATTTTTCGTTAAATGAAAGAAATACGGTCAAAAGTTGTTTTCAAGTAGCTTATTTGTGTAAAAGGAAACGTTTAGTGATGATAAAAGTTCTAGTGTGCTTTAATAATCATGTCTTGATCTTGTCAGGACTTGTCTTAGCTCCTCGCTTAACCCTAGTTTCAAACTGATAGTGGCACTAGACAAAGGTCGTTTTAATCGGACCTGAGTTTGGGTAATCAACAATTGAGTCCATTATTATCCTTGATCAGTATCAATGATCAATCTAGTACCAGCTAATCCTCAAAAACTCACACAAAAACGTCTTTTTCCTTTTCCTCGAGAGTGTAGAAGTTGCCGACTCGTCTCGCGAAACTTTCCGCATCGCTGGCTCGACTGCCGTTCTGAAATTTGATCTTCTAGGGAAAATTAACTTTCTGGTACAAAAAAATCTACAAGATCTCTATCGTAAAGTTTTTCTGACATAATACAAATCTGGTTATTTTGAACAAGATATAAAAAACAGTTTAGGATTTACCAGCCAGATTAAAATTGATTTGTCAGCGGTTTTCTTTGCCTTTATACCCTTTAAGCACTTTGAAACAAGCATCCTTACTAATACAAACGGTTACTTCCCTAGGCTAGGCCATATAAGTCCAAAGCCAGACCAAGACTTTAGTCTTATTGCCTAGACTAGACCTGGACCTGGCCACATAAAGTTCAAAAACCGGACTGTACCTGGCTTTAGGCTTGACCGTGTTTTGCCTAACCTAAAAATGTCTGGCTTTAAGCCTGGCCTTGTCTGGGAAAAGGCCCCTGGATCTGGCTGAATCTGGCTCTAGAGCTAAACTTGTGGCCCAGACTCTACCCTGCCCTGGCTTACAAATCCTAGGGCTGGCCATTTGGAACACACCCGGCTCTCACTAACCTTATCCTCTAGACTGAAACGCTGCCGGCCCATGTTGTAGAAACTGGTGTGCAATGGGGGACTTGAAGAAACTGAAATTTAAAGATTAATTTGTTAAGGTGATCACTCCTTGAAAAGTTCTCAATGTTGGATAATAATGGAGAATGGAGAATAGCTCACAAAAAGCGAGTTTCAATTTAATGAAGATGTGGCACGAAAACGATGGACTAATTCATCAGATACAGATACACAGAGTTCGTCAGATAAATTGAGTCTTAAATAGTTTTAGCTTTTTATAAACTTTGCCAATTGTTGATAAGAATAGGGTTCAAGTCGACGTTTCAAATTTAGCAGCCCAAACAGAGGAGTTTAAACTTTAATGGGTTAGTATTTGCAGCTTGCCAACCATTAGAAAACAATACAAGCATGGTAATTTTAGCATTTTTAGCTTTTTACGGTAATCGAGATAGAATGTGAATTATTGGGCAATAAATTGATGCAATTGGGGATATAAATAAGCCTTTTAAGAGACGAGTTTCAAAATTCGGCACATTCGAGCAGAAACGATCGAAATCACACCACAAAGTAACGAATAGGAAACATTTTATCGCATCATTTTCCCCCGTTTTTCTCTTTTCTTTTCTTATTTTCTTTTGATCTCTCGACTTTCCGGTTCATTCACTCTTGCTTGTCTTTCTTTCTCTTTCTTTCAAACCAAAATACACTCCGAGAAGACGAGCAAAGTACAAGACTCGAAACGATTCTCTCTTGCAACATTCAACTACAAATCAAGTGTACTTTGTGCTTTCCAAACACCCCCTTTCTAACGCACACAATTCCTCTATTTCCCCCGTGACACCAAATCGTTGCTGTGGAAGAATTGAGTGGACCAGAAAGAGGGTGTTTACGAGATTTGTGGGCACAAAGTACATTTTGCAAGTTTGCGCCTATAGAAGAACCTCAAGCTCTGCAAATACAAAGAAAAAGAAAAGAGTTTAAAGTTTTCGGAAATTTTCGCCTAAATTTTTCTAGAACAAATTTCATTACCATCAATTGAGCTTATTTTCGTTGATTTAAACGTTCAATTTCTAAAGGGAATGCATTATTGACTGTTCATTTGAAAAAGAAATGATTAAACAATTAAAAATTTGTATATCTAAAATAATTTGAAACTTAAAGCTTGTCCCGATCAAAAAAATTGAAACCTTTTTATCTCAAAAATGACTTAAATGGATCAAAAAAGGTCAATAATCAGGAAGACAAACTCAATTGAATGGCCGAAACCCATTTACACTTTAAAAGCTTTGAAACAAACCTTTTCTCACCGAAAACTTTTCCCCTCCAGCAGCGATTCTTTCCAAAATCGCTCGATTCAGCAATCGTTTCATAAGAATTTCAAAGAAATTATAGAAATAAAGATTCTTTTCAAATCGCAGAAAGAAAACGGATTGATTGAGATCAGTTGGGTGATTTTTCGCGTATTTTTCCTGTCCCAAGGCAGAAATCGGGTCGATTTTTCTCTTTTTCGCAGACTTTTCCCATTTTTCTCTGAGTCTCTATAGATGTTTCGAAACTCTTCTTCTTTCTTTCTTGTTTTTTCTGCACACATTAGCTCCGATCATATACACTGGGAATCTATTGACATGAGAATATTTTGACATCAAACAACCATTTGATGGAGTTTTTGTTCTTTGGAGGGTGATTGTCTCAGCACAAACTCTTGTCGTCTGGCACACTGAAAAGGGTTGGTTCTTGTCGATTGTGATTAACGATGAATCTATGTTGAGAGGAGGGCACTGTATACTTTGTTTTGAAAAGTTTCAAGCCTCAACTTTTGAGTGAAACCTATTTGAATCTGATTTGATATTTGAATTTAGGAAAGTCAAGTTTCAGAAAGAAATAAAAACGGTTTATTGTAGGAATTACTTTGATATGTTTAGATTACGATTTGATAATCAGAAGAGAGAAGCAGTACCGTTTGAAATGACTCTTTAATATGAGGGTTACTGTAAGAGATTTCCTAATTTTTAATCCTTCAACAATCCTTGTGGAAGCCACAATGTGGAGCATTTCTGTACTTAGGATTGTAAAATAGATCTATCAAAGTGGATCTTAGAATTGGGCGCTTCATTTTCTTCGTGATGAACATTGATATTTCATCTCTCAAACTTACTGTTAGTAATCCCCGCCATTCATAAAATGCATGTTTCAAAGAAAATCCAAGAAAACTTGACTTTTATCATTTAATAAATTAGTGAAGAGCATTAATTTTAAAAAATTGCTCATTTTGCTCGAAACTCAAATTGTTTGTTGTTTAAGAATTGTTTAAGATAATCGACGAACGAAATTCACTTTGTCGGCAGTGTTAAATGTCGGCAGCGTCATTATTTAGTTCAACGTTTCAATTTCAGCAGCAATAAACTATTATTTAGGCACTAACGCTTCAAAGGATGGTTTGAAATGAGGAATCAAAGCCTACGTGAAACACCTTTATTGATTAAAGCCGAAAATCGAATTTGGGACTAGCCTAACATTGAAACTACAGTTTCCAGAGGTGAGTTTTTTGTTTCTAAAAACCTTTCTAGCTTTGTTTTACATCAAATTTGAGTTTCAAATATTACAAAAGACTGTTTATAAGGCCTAAGGCAAAACATTCTTCACTAAAAAGCTACAAAGAATGAGACCAAAGTTTATTTCTTTAATGAATCATCAGTAATTTACCTGCAACAAGACAGGGATCAAGGAAAGTTTGTTTCAATGAAATCTTGGAACTGCGATTCATCAAAAATCTTCATTTTTCTGAAGGAACGACTCATTCAATCGTTACTGATCAAAATTTTTTGCTAAAACTTCTCTATTTTCATTAAAAAAAGAAATCCATTTGAAAATTTCCAAATAAAAGACAATTTTGTGACAACAAATCGCTCAATTTCTAACGAAAATTTGTCAAAGGTGAAGGTCAAACAAGTGATCGGATTTGGCGATCTCTTTCCATTTTTGATTTCTTTTGTCGAGTTTTTTTTGAAACCCCCGATTTTCTATAAGATTCTTTTGAGAGAAAATCTGATCGTCTTCACTTTTTCGACAAATTTTATTGATTTTCTTGCGCTTCATTTTACTTCCTCTATCTAGTGATGAAATTTTTGGTTGAATCCTTGTTACAACTAAGCTCAAGTCGTGTTGCTCCCAATTTTAATACATTTTTAATATTAAAATGTTCGAATTGCGGTTTGAATTCAATTTGATCGCTTCAAGAACATTTGAACATTTGAGAAATTATGTTTCATGTTTTTTCAAGTTTTTTTTATGAGACGAGACGATCTAATGGAATTTTTTGGTTCCTATTGAAAGAAGAAATACTTTTGAAGTTCAGTTAGCTATAAACTTGTGCTTTGGCAATACTTTGTGCTCTCTCCGGATCCCTTAAACATGCCCTTTCTGGCGCACCTAGTTCTTCTATTTCTCCGCACAGAAACTGGAAAATGGAAGAATTGAGTGCACCAAAAAGGGGGGTGTTTACAGGATTTGGAGAGAGCACAAAGTATAAAACTCCTAAGAAAACTGTCTCTTGTAATATAAAAATCAGAGTTTCAAGTTAGACACAGTACTTACGTGGAATCGAAAAGACAATAGGTGAATTGTGAGTGATGATTATTGAGCGAAATAACACAAATCGACTCTGATTGTTGCCTCATTGATGTCTGATTGATGGTTCTTTTCCAACATTTCTAGGATCACTAGCTTAAAACTCGACTTTTCGAGTGTATAATACCCATTCCCTTCTCTTCTTCATTCCCATGTTTCAATGTATTCATGTAGTTTGGTAAATTTTTGATTTCAGTAATATTTGAACTCCCCTACTGTAGCCAGAGATTCAAAGATCCCTCAAAGATCTTCCCTCAAATGTTTCCTCAAATTCGCCCATTTTCGTCGAGATTTCCCACTTGAAATGACCGTGTGACTCTCTTCAAAAACAAGACAAAAAAAATGAGCCAATTTACCTCACTTTTTATCTTCCAAAAACGAGTATTTTCGGGTCATCTTGGAGAAACTTTATCCATAAACACTTCAAACGTTTACATTTTGCAAACTATTCGTCAGAGCATTGCATAAAGTTATATATAAACTGATTACGGTCTCATTATTGTCATTCAGCTTGAAACCCCCGACTTTTATCGATGTCTTGTTAAACTTTGTGCCCTCAATTCTCGTAAACACTCCCTTTCTGGTGCACTCAATTCTTCTATTTTTGTCTTTTTTAGGGAATGAAATCGCTGATAGTTCTGTGGATATTGATCCCTTCAGTCCTCTCGACACTGCCCGGACTCTCGGGATCAGGTAGTTTAAAGAAAAAAGATTCAACAAAAGTTCTTAGTTCCAACCCTGAAACGCCCGGTTCCACTCGGCGTGCACGCTCCCGGCGTCAACGGGGGACCCGTGCAGAAATCACCGGTTGAGGTGAAAATTAAAGCAAACTTTGCACTTTTGAATCATTCACTGACATCTGATCTCCAAACCCCAGGTGTACCTCGACGAGTTCGGCTACACGGCGAGCTCAAATGAGCTCGAACCGCCCACGCCCTTCGACTTGCAAATGGGATTACTGTAAGTTTTCTGTAGATCTATGCGTTTCTTACTACTTGCCTGAATATAAAATTTGCATTAGAAAAATCGTTGTCCCACTGTTTGCACAATTCTAGTTTCAACTTATTCAGGATAAAAGACGTTTCAATGGTCGGTCGATTCTAGTGAAAGTTTAACTGCTAGTTCCCCAACTAGTCAATTCTTTATGAATTAGAAACTTTTCATTGTCCTAGATCCTAAATAGATATTTCTTTTCTAGACGAAATCCTAATACCTAGATCGAGTATGATCTTGGGGAAATCAGAGTTTCAAAATGTTCATGGTTGACGTTCGAAAACGTTGTTAGTGCTATTAAGGAGACAAAACAGCAATCAATCCAGATTTCTTATTCATTAATCTTTTCACAGAATTGTCTACAATATATTTCATAAAAAGAATTCAGCCGCTTCCAAATGTATCACGGCCTCTACCGAAGCGGGCTTTTTGATGTGGAAACTGAGGAAAAGATGGCGCTGCATCGATGCGAGAATGAAGATCTACAGAATGGGGCCACGTTGAAAGGTTTCTTGCAAAAAAAATCAATTCTAAACCACTTCTAGGTGATTTTATTTTGGTTGACTTGCATTTGAATGGTATTAAAAACCAGATTCCATTCGGATCCTGCATAACTTGAAACTTATATTTACCTTTGAAGCTAATCAAATACTAAATAGTTATAAGCTTTAGAAGACTGTGAAAGCAATGGTTTAGCTGGCAGTGTTGAAACTTGTCTTCTTGAAAAACACAATTCATTAAATCAAATCATGGAATCTAAATCATTAAATTGAAATCGCAAGTGACCCTATGTTAACCTCAAAGTGACCCTATGTTAACCTAACCTGTTGACCAAATTCCTCCTTAGACTAATCTAAATTTGAAACTTGCTTTTTTTGAAACCCTAATGAAGCTGTTTTTGAAGTTTAAATCTGAAAAACCTTGTAATATATAAAAATAAGATTTGTTTACAAATTTTCTGTAAAATTAAGTACTGTAACGTTTTTGTGGAACTATATAATTCAAAAAATTAGCCAAAATGCTTCTCCATCCCCGCTTCCGGAAATGGCGCCTTCGTTTGAATCGAAAATTCATGAAAAAGCTCGGATTAGGTTCGAAAAAGTGCACCGCATGCAAATTTAAAGTTACGCACTTGTTTAAAGGATCGATTAAGTTGAAGCATCTAACTTTTTTCCTACATTTTTTTTAGTTTCAGCTTTTTAAGTTTATACATCATGTTTTTAAAAAAAATCAAGAATTAAACTTGAAATAGACAGACAGATAGTACCTAATTGTAAACTATTTTGAGAATAGAATATAGCTCGCAATAAGCAATTAAATTTTTCTTTTCTCATCGAGAGTCGGATAAGATGAAATCAGATTTTTTAAAACAACTTGTAGAAAATGTGACCGCATTGTCCATCCTCCCTTATCTTAATAATGCACTACTTTGAAACACAATTTTTTTTCTCACAAATTTTCAATTACAATTTTAGTTTTATTTTTGTCAAAGCTTCAAAAACATTGTTGCTAATTAAATAGTCCAAATTTTGATTTATAAAATAGACTTTAGTTTAGTTGAATGGATCGATTAAATTCGAACGACCCAAAATTAAATCGATTAAATTTCACTTTCCTTGTGGAGAGTCGGCTAAGATGAAACTAGATATCAATAAAGTCGCTCTTGACACCAAACGCTTGATTAAATTGAAACACAACACTTCTTCTCCAGCATATTCAAATTTGATTTCCTTCTATTTTAGTTTTTAGTTTATTTTCATTTTAGTTTATGTCAAATTCTCAGTTTCACCAAGAAACACTATTAGTTTTAGCACTATAAAATTATCAAAAATGATACCAGAACTGGATACAAATCGACTGTGGAAGAAAAAGAGCCTTCAATGGTCGATTCAAGGCACACCGAACTCGTTGACACAAAAGGAAACGAGGTGACAAATTAGCTAAAGTTTATCGCTTTTGTATACAGTACTATTTTGATTACCACAGGCTACAGTACCTTTAGCTGCAATAAGCTTTGCCTCAATTGTCTTTTACTTAAAGATATTCGTTTAGATGCATTTGATGAAATGATTGGATTGAACCTCTTTCTTTACTAAAGACATGAAATGACTGAGACAATGACATACTAAAGACACTTACAGTAATCCCAGTTCCGTAAATGTTTTAGTCATCATGTACGCTATTTACATTTAGATGAGAATTTCAATCTTTTTTTACAGAGAAGCTCTCGTTGACGCGATTTCCCGTTGGGAGAACATTGGTGGTTTCCGTTTCTTTGAGACCGATTCACCGAATTCTGCCGACATTTTGTTCTCTTTTGAGCAGATGAGTGACAAGAAGCATCCAACAGGTTAGGCATTTCGAAATTAAAGTTCATATGTTGTACAAACTAGTCACAAACAAACAAAACTGTTACCAATTTTTGAGCTCTGATCAAACGGTCTAAAAGAAGTAATAACAACTCTGTATTGGTGAGAAAAGTTGTGTTTCAAATGAAAGGAAAGCCAAGTATTTTCTCAAGCCTACTTACTTTTTAAATCTTGATTTTAAATCTCGTTTGTGACACTTAAATCGGGGGTAATTTTTGTTTATGAAAATGAGAAAATTTATGTTTCAAATTAAATGATTATCCAAACGCTTCTGGGTTGCTGGCATGTCTTTGTGGCTCTGTAAAAAGAACGTTTACACCTGGTCATTGCGGAAAATTCTCAAGGCATTGGAAATTTGAAAAAAGTTTGAAACTTAGTTTATTCTCAAATTTAGTGGTATCCCGAGCTTCGGGGCCAAATCAGAGCCGCGTTGTCTTCGACAAATTCCAACCGTGGAGCCATGTCATTCAATATCCGGTAAATTTAATTGGTTAACAAAAAAAAGCCCCATTTTCTAATGATGAGCAATTTTAAGTACCTGGTTTCGAAAAAACTACTACCGTAAACACTGTAATTGATTGGCCCACTTAGAAGAAAGTTATGGCAAGCTGCGCACAAAATTTGGCGCAAAGTAGCCAGCCCAAATTTATGGGATAAAATTAAAAATACAAACGATTTCTGAAAATACATGAAAATTTTCGGCCTTAAAAGCGTTGTTTGTAATTACGCGTTAGGTGGGGTACTATTAGAGGGGTGGGGTATTATTTTAATACCTCTAATAATACCCCCCTCTAGGGTGGGGTATTATTAGAGGGGTGGGGTCCAATTACAGTATTTACGGTAGTTTAGGTGCATCCGTTGAGCAGAGAAAGTTGAAACTTATTCTTTGAGAAGGGAACTTTCACTTTCGTATTTAAAATTTTCTTATTGTTGCAATCATAGAACGAATTCGAGTACATTCATTGAATGTCATTGATTTTAAAAAATTGAAAAGTTATGCCTTGTCTAGGGAAGTCTCTCGTTGCATCGCGCCGCCCTCCACTCGATCGGACACTCACTCGGATTGCAACACACACCCGAGATTGACAGCTTAATGAACCCATTGTTCAAGGTAGGAGTAAAGAACTCAAACTGTGTTCTTTGTGCTCTCCGAACCTCGTAAACACACCCCTTCTGGCGCACTCAATTTACAAAGTACAACCTTTGATAAGCTTTTTTCAAGTTTTTTTGAGTTTTTTCAAGGCTATTCCATTGAATCGTCAGGGTAGTCTTGAACACTTCATAGACTTGAAACACAATAATTTCTAACGATTTTAGAGTGCCCAACTTTTCTCAAAGATCACCGCCATACCCAACGAAGACGACAAAACACTGCGCGAGCTATACGGTAAATTTCTGACATTAGAAATTATAACCTAGATCAATCGAATAACCCGGTTCTTTGTTCACTTTGAGATTTCACTTTGGTTAGTAAAGAAAAAGATTTTTTTTAGCTAAAAAAATGGCTTGGCTTTGTATTTCTTGGATTTTTTTGGGTTGGGTCATCTAATGAAGCTCTATTTGGGACCTATTTGAGCTCTATTTGAGCTCTATTTGAGCTCAAATAGAGATCATTTTCAAATGATCATTTGAAAGCCTCAAGTGAGAAGTGAGAGTTTAGTTAAGGAAAAAAATATAGAATTATGCTCAAAGGACTTGATTTTAAAAGATGTATTGAAGAGTGATGTCGACTCAGGATTCGTAACGTTCCTTCACCTCCCCAGCTTTGTTTTTGGATGGTGAAAACTTTTGAAAGCCTTTTCCCGTTGATTGATCCAAGAAAAGCTGTCAAACTTTGACCGAGCCATATGTTTCGAATCCAAAAAGAAGGGGGAAATCCGAGAAAAACCCAAAAGACCACTGAAAAACTTTAAAAAACGAGAAAATCTGGAAAGCAAACTGACTCATCGGGTCAATTTTTACCAAAATGACTTCAAAATTTTCAATTTTACTTCTAATTTTGCTCAAATTTTCTCAAAGCCAAACGGATAACGTGGAAATTGAGGAAATTGATACAGGTTTGGGAAGTTGTCGGAAAAAAAATACTTTTAACGGGTTTCAAAGTGTTTCACGGGTTCAAAAAAACTTGAGTTTCAAAGTGCAGACTCAAAGTTAAAGAATCTGTGTCTTAATGACGATGAACATGCGTTTTTAAATAAAAACTGCAAGAAACAAATTTGCACTAGTTAGAATTGGTTAGAATTTTTGATACGTCAAACTTGGAAGTTTTCAATTTTCTTCGCCTTTCAGCCATCCCGGCTCCGACGGTGACCCAGTCGAGCGGCGAAACCCTCAAATGCCCGAAGCACTTGGACTCGGTGACGGCTGGTGGGTTTAATGACTATTTTCACCGCAATCTTGTCTCTATTTTTATCCAATCTATCCACTTTTTTTCTGATTCTGTGTGGGTTCACAAAGGAAAACATTGAAAGGAGACTAAAGGACAACGACCACAACACATTCAACCAACTTTCAACCAATAAAGAAATTTTCTAGACAAAACAATTTTAGTCAGCGAAAACCTGTGGTTCTTCTTCCGAAAGTACAACGTGTGGTCGGTGAAAAACCGCAAGTTTCAAGGCGAGCACCGGCGGATTAAAGAAGTGAGTTGCAAGTTTGACAAGGTGGATAAATCAAAATTCAGTACGCGTTTCTTGGACATTTTCTTTATTCCGTATTTTCTCTAATAGTAGTGCACCCTGATCGTCGTCTAAATTACTCGAAATCTCAAAAACCGTTTATCAGAACCTATCGATGTGGGGTCGGAAAATGTAGCTGACGATGAGATCTTGTGGGGGATTAAAGCGTTAAGCTTCTGGGAAAAATTGGAAACCGTCAAATAGGCATCAACTCGGCTCGGTGCGGTGCACTACTATTAGAGAAAATACGGTAAATTAAAACTACACAAACTCAAAGAAGTGATTTAAAAAGTAGAGAAGCTCAGAAAATTGAGCAAGCTAAATATAATTGGTTGTTATTTTCGTAAATATTTGTGCAAAAACTGATTTTGAGCTGTCTATATTTGGCTTAAATTAAACCCGAATTGAATTAAGAAAAAGTGAGTTTCAAATTGAGAAGGGTAAAGGGGTAAAGCCGAAATTTAGTATCAGTGTCTTGGATATCCTCACTGTAAATTATCACAAACCCCAGTTCGACTCAAATGTTTTTCTGAATATTAGCATTTCTCAGGTGTTCCCCGATGGTCCCGATTTTGTGAACGCCACCGTGACATCCAATGGGTTGACGGTGCTCTTTGCGGAGAGAACGATCTATGGATATCAGTATGATGCGGGAAGATTTGTGTAGGTTTCAATAAAATTAGAAAATTTTGCTAGAAACAAAAACCCAACTAACTTAAAGGAAAACATGAGAAATCCGTTCTATACAATCCTCTGAAAGGTAGCGGATTTGAAAATACATTCGTGCGTTTAAATCCGAGTGAATAGCGTGAATTCTTTATTGGCACGTACTTGTTGATGTTACATGAGTCCGGACTGAGGCTTCATCATCGAACATTCTCTCTTAGTCTACCCTTGATGGGCGGACTAGGTAAAGAAATAGTGTGTGTTAGAGAATCGACTTTCACTCGATCTCGGTCAAGAAAGAGTTCAGTCTAATCAAAGTGAGAAATCGGCTCAAGGCTCAAAAACGAAAAGTTGTTAAAATTTCGAGTGTCTGATAGCTGAGAAAGGTTAATTATCGAGATCTCATACTCATTGAAGTCCGAGATTTTTAAACTACTTTATTAAATTTGAAACATTTGAATTTAAAAAATTTTGCAACTGTTTCTGAGAAGTTCGGAGACGAATTGTCAGAAATACTCTTTCAATTTTGAAGAGTTCTCGCGAGTTAAGAGAACCAAATAAAAGTAGCACTTGAGGAATTCGATTTTAAACTTCAAGTTTCAATCTGAAACCCTTTCGATCAAAAAAATGGGAGCTTAGTATTGTTACATCCCGTACGGAAATTAAGTAGATCTTTTGAAGCACCAAATTGAGATTTATCACATGAAGGATTTACCAGAAAGATTCAGTACAAATATTCGGTTCTATTCCAGAAAGAAGCAGAGTTTGTTACCATAATAGCATCAGAACAACTACTTCGGGGAATTGTTAAAAGTAAATACTTTACAGCGATAAGTAACCAAATTTAGAGAGAAGGAACCAAATTGAGAGAGATAAGGAATCTAATTTAGAGAGAGCACAACTATTTCGGGGAATTGTTAGAAGTAAATACTCGACAAAGCCGATCAATTTGAAACAACATATTTTATAGACTTTAAAATTTGATTTCCCATTATTTTTCTCGAACCAAATGAACTGTCAGGATCCAACACTTGTTAAAGCTGCTACATTTGAAACTACCTTTTTATGATACTTTAAATTACCAATTTTCATTGTTAGAGAAAAACTTTACAATAAGGTAAAGTAATAAGTTTGAAACAAAAGATTCATTTTCCAGGAAAGCTGAGGGTTTCCCCCGTGAACTCCACGAGCGAGTGCTCTTCTTCCCACAAGCCGCTTTCCCATTGACGAATGGAAGTATTGTGTTGTTGTCGGTCAGTTGAATTGCTTCACTTTGCAATTTTCAACTTATTTTGTTATTTGACAATGAAATGATTTCATGAAGTAAAACTGTTTTCAAATTTAAATTGTAGTTTCAAAAGTCTATTTGAATGCCTTTTCTTCATTTAGTTAAGTCAAATTCCCTATTGATTTAAGTTTTCCAAAGGGTTAAGATGTTAGAAACGGTTTAAAAAAAACGTTCTTTTATGACTCAAGCACGACTTTTATGACTTTTATGACAAGCACGACTTTTATGACCCGATCCAAGTTCTAAAAGCTTGAATAACTAAACTGAAAATAGAGTGGATACAAGAGAAAGCATTATAAAAATGAAATTGTGATAGGAAATTGTGAAAATAATGGATCGATTTGTGTAATGAAAAGTTCGGTTTCAAAGTTTTACTTAAAAATGGCATGAGATCCTGATTGTTCAAAAGCGAACAATACATTTAGATGCAACACTGAAACTCTAAAACTTTGAAAACGCAATTTCAATTGCAGGGCAACGTCTTCGCCACTTACGACGTGCTCGCCAACATGCCCCATATTTTGAACGACAAGAATCGCATGTTCCCCAATTTGCCATTCGACGTTCGATCAGGGATCCCGGTGCACACACAGGACTACTCAAGATATTACATGTTTGATGAGACTACGGTCGGTTATTCGAATATTAAAAAAATTGCTATTTAATGGAAAATAATGAGAAAGACGCACGCAGACGAATTAAAATCAGGTTTTCGGCTTTACCTTTAAACAATTTGAAACTAATGATTTGAAGAGAGCTTTTTTTGCACAATTTTGAAGTTTTATTCGAAAATCAGTAAGATGAAGTGGAAAAACTGGAATTTTTGACTTTAAATCTAATAACTTTAATACTCACAAATTCCCTGGAAAAAGCTTTATCTTTGTGACAACAAGTTGGTCTTTTTCCAGGTCCAATTCCTCTACCCATTTTCTAAGCTCCCCATGGAAGCATATTTCAGAGCTAATCAATTCAATCTTTCATGTTTTAAACCATAAAACCATTTTTTATTGTATCAACAATGTTGGAAAGAAGAAATTAAGCTTTAAGCTTAACAAAACCAATTAGAACCAGAGCTTTTCAAAATTGGCAGAAGCGAGTTTCAACTTAGCTAAGGTAGCTTAATATTTGCTAGGCTTATGAATTTGCCCCATTACTTTTTTAGCTCTAGAATGAAATTCGACCTTTTGTGTACTGAAAAAGATTACACAAAAGATGTGTAATCTTTTTATCTAGATAAACAAGAGAATTTGCAGGTTTCCGAATGGCAATCGGCGAGTCACGAGGCCACCCCAGCCAAGCCGATCACCGATTTCTTCATCTGTTCCACTTAAAAATTGAAAGTTTCAAAATTTTCAATTACTTGAGCCAAAAATTTGAAGCAATTGTCCCCTCGTTATTGTTTTGTATGATGCTTTTTGATGCTTTGGTGCTGTAGATACTTTTGCGAATACTTATTTATGTGTACTGTGTTTTTAAGATAAAAATTTTAATGTTTTTAATGGAAAGCGATTACCTATCTTTAAATAATCAGTAACTCAATCTACAATATATCCAATACGGTTCTTTTTAGATCCAATACGGTTCCAATACGGTTCTTTTTGGATCCAATACGGTTTCAATCAGTTCTTTTTAGATCCAATACGGTTCCAATACGGTTAAAATATATAATTTTTAAAAATCGGTGCCTCAAATTGCTTTTCTAAAAATCAATCAATTTACACCTTTTTGGAAATCGCGATTAAACGTCTTGGATAGTTTTTTATGCCGGATGAGTTGAAACAAGCTTTTTTGGAGCTCTGTCGATAAATTTTGGATTATTAGAAATTTTAGTGCGGACTAGCGTGCTCTAGCTATTCTAGCTAGACCACTCCCAGAGTTTTGATAGCTATCTCTACCTGTAAACAAGACCGACAACAGTCCCAGGCCAGAGCCGAAGACAGGTTTGGCCTTACTCTAGCCGGTGTAGTGATTCTTGTAAGTCAAGCAGAGGCAGGACCAGAAACCAAGCAAAGAAAAACTGTTTTTCAGAGCATTCTATTGGTATTCACTTCAGAATTGTTCAGATTTTTGCTTTTTTTAATCTTTAAAAGCTCGTTTCAAAGTATTCGGCTCGGCTTTGATAAGGCAATCGTTTCAGGATGTTTTTTTCTGCTGCTCTTTCGGAATGATCTCTCAACTTTCATCCTTTTGCGGAAATGAAAAATAAACAAAGAAAATCAAAGTAAATCGAAATTTTTTGACTTTTTTGAAACGGGTTGCCATCCAACGGTCGTCTGGTCAGCGGGGAATTTCGCCTTTTTGGGGGAATTTAGATCTTTTCCTTTCTTTTCTTTGAGATTTCATTCAGAGTTTTGAAAATTTTGTGAGCTTTTGTAAATTGCAATGGAAGTCTTCTGCTTCTACTTCTACAATTTAGCATTAGTGCTTCAGTTTTCAACAGGTAACTCGAGAAAAATTACAGAATAATGTAGAATTGATTGAATTTTGGCAAAGAAATTGGAAAATTTTAATTTTGAACATTTGGATCATTGAGTTTTGAATAAAAATCAAACGTGTGACTTTCAACTGAAAAGTTCAAGTTTCAAAATGTACAGGAACAATGAAAAAATGCAACATGCAATTCATTCAATTCCTGGACACAAAAATGTAATTCTTTTGCTGGCACCTGATAAATAAATAAACTGATAAATAAACTGAGATAAATAACTTTTCTAGAATTTATTCTCTAATAACGTATTTTTTTTTTTTTTTTTTTTTATCTATTAAAGAGGAACAAAAAAAAATGATTTTTTCCCCCAAAAAAAAAAAAAAATGAATAAAATCTAGTGATCAATGGACAGGACGTTGCCTCGATTCAATCAATGCTCAATCGAATGACGTTGTCGGCTTTGATGACCAGTGAGACGACAACCGATCAAACGTTTGAAAGAGAAGGTGTGGAAACGACTGTTACAGCTGTTGGAGGTGATTTTTTGGGAATAAACTCATAAAACGATGGCCCAAAACTCGACTACAAGTTCAACTACGACAGGTAAGACAAATTTGTTCAGTTTATTCATATTCTTTTATTAGTTCTATTCTTAATTTTATAGCCAATGCACCAAGCACCACAAAGACCTCAGCTTCCCCGAAAAATCAAGCCAATGCAACAACGATAACGCCAGCGATTAGCAACGCTACACGAGGAAATGATGAAGATGATGCTGGTATGAATTTTTAGGTTTCAACTTTGGAGAACAAACTTTTCGACTTTCAGACATAACAACAACCGCTGGTGGCTCATTTCTGGACAAGTTGAGCCCTCTGAAAATCTCGCTGAGCTCGTTGAATATCTTCTCTCAATTGCCCGGAAAGCTGAAGATCATCTATGCTGTCTCGTTTGGTTTGTTTCAAAGTTCTGCGTACATTTACAAAATCAAACAACCTGTTTAGTTTGTTTCAAAATTATCGGGGTTATGAATTCATTTTTAGTGTATTCATTAGTTCATTAGTTGTTAGTGTGTATTCATTAGTGTATTCCCAGCTTTATTAATAGTAACCAAAAAAAATGCACTTCAAAATGCACAAGGTTTTGTGAAAATTCTTTAAAATTAATATATAAAATGTAAAAGCTTTTATTTTCCCAAAGGCAATAGTTTAGTAATCATTCTGTCTTTTTGGCTAATTCTTATTTCAAAAATTATCCATCAACTTTTAGCTTGTTTCAAATTAACTAACATTTGACGAAGCTTTTTGGCCTCAGTTCAACAATAGTTTTAACAAAAGCTCAGCATTGATGGATTATTAACAGTTTCTTTCGTTATTTCAAAGTTATCAGACTTTGGCGCAATTCTTCAAAATTAGTGAATAAAGCGTACTTAAGTTCTCAAAATTAATCTGCTTTTTTACTTTTAAACATCAGGAATTAAGCGAGCAATCCTTTCGACGTGTTTCAAAATTATTGAGCTTGCAAGCTTACAAACACGTCTAATACCTGCACAGAACTAATGTCATGAAGTACTTGACCGTGATATCTGGCTATTTTGAAACTCAGCTTTAATCTATGAGCCTTAAGAAAATTACACTAATTCCAAGTAATTCCAAGAAGAACCATTGATTTGTAAAGATGGAGGCATAGGAGGCTTTGTAAAGATGCTTTGTAAAGATGCCTCCTATGCCTCCATCTTTACAAATCAATGGTTCTTCTTGGAATTACTTGAAATTAGTGTAATTTTCTTAAGGCTCATAGATTAAAGCTGAGTTTCAGAATAGTCAGATATATTAGGTCAAATACTTCTTGACATTAGTTCTGTCCAAGTATTAGATGTGTTTCCTTTTGACCCAACTCAAAAAAGTCTGTTTCAAAATCGATCAAATTTGCAATCAATTAGAGAACTTATTAAATTGAATAATTTGAGTTATTAACTTTAAAATTCAATCAATTTCCCCATCAATCAATCCCCAAATTTCCAGTTGTCTCCCTCATTTTGTTGACAATTTTCGGGTGCTGCTCTGGCGTTTTCTTGATGGTCACCAAGAAGAACAAGAAGAAAATCGAGGAGATCGGTCATGCTTGAAGAAAATGTTTCAAAGTTTCTTAAATCTAAGAAAATGATCAATAAAACTTTGCTTGATAGTATTTGATTAAGTGAGAGTGAAAAAGAACAGGCGGACAACGTCAGTGATGAGTTTTAAAGGTTGACGGCATCTGGAATGAGTTTTGGTCCTAAGTACCGGTGAAATGTTGAGTCGATTCATCAAGAAAAAGCACTACAAGTGGGAAAATTTGTTTACCATTAGATTAAAATGATTCATTTCAAAGCGGACGTGCTGTGCGGAGTTACGGTTTTAAAATAAAAGGTCGAGTTTCAAATAAATCGTCGACAACTGTGCGCTACTTAAAATAATGTACGTTCGTGGACTAATATGGCAGCCATATTTAGTGGTCTTCTGACATCTGACATCTGCAAAATCCTGGTGAGTTGATAGTGGGTGATTAGACCTAAGCTCAGGTTTAATTATCTCTATTTTCTATTCACGTCAGTTTTAAGGGCTAAGGTGAAATCAAAGGGTCTAAAATTAAAAAAAGACTTCAAAAACCAACGTTTGTGGAATATTAATCCTTAAGTTTCAAGTTATGCAACTACCACCACCAAACGCTTCAATTAATAGTACGAGCCCCCAATATGAGCTACTCACCCCAATGAATTGAAATTTTAAGCTGAAATTGATCAGAAAGTTGCCGAACAACCTTTTTTTATGAAAGCAACAAAATTGTTTTCAACTTTTATTGATTTAATAAGAAAATATGGTTCCATAGTTTAAACTACAAGTTTTGCTCCAGACGCTCCTGTTTTTGCATTTGTTTTTTTGTAAGTACCCCTCTAATGGTTCGTGGAGACACCTTGAGATCGACGATTGCTGCTATTCGGGAAGAAGGCCTCCGATCTGAGACCCAGACGATTTGCTCTTGAATTTTCAATGTCGGATTATCAATGCCGTTTTTCCATTCATATTTCCAAGAAAAATTCAGCGCATTCGCATCGCAAGAAAATTGATGAGAACTATTATGTCGATATTTATGCTTTTTTTGAAACATGATAACAAAAATTTAATGCTTTACTTCAAAAAGCATCAATTACACTCGAAAAATCCCAATAAAATGCACAAAAAGTGGAAATATTTGAAGAAAAATGAGTAAATAAGTGAAAAGGATGAGAATAAGACAAAAAAAAGTTGCTACTTTCATTCAAAAATGATTTCAAATGGGTAATTTTATGAAATTTAGCTGATTGGAGACAAGAAAAAAGCTGAGTTTTTGGTAAAAATTTGGAGAAAATGGCTTTGGAATGAAATTGGATATCTCGTGAAAAGTGGAAGTTTCAAAATATTGGCTTTAATCTGGTGAAGAATGAAATTAATCAGAAATCCTTTTTTCTAACTACAGTAACCCCGAAAAATATTCAGTCTGGCTGAATATCTTTAGCTTCTATTAAGAATTTGAAAGATATTCACTCAGACTGAATATTTTTCTTCTGGCATACTGTAGTGAGACCTTTAGAGTAACTTTAAGAAGCAATTGAGATGACTTCTTTCCCGGATCCCCCGATGAAAAGAACTCTCTTCAAATTCTCTGTCAACACGTCCAAATAGGCGGTGTAGCTGTGGATGAACGCCTCGCGACTCCTAAAAGTTCTTTGGCTCTACTTTGAACGCCCCGACCCCGTAAACACTCCCTTTCTAGCGCACTGCAATTCTTCTATTTCCCCTCACAGCAACAGCAGGGGAAAATAAAGAATCGAGTGCGCCAGAAAGAGACGTGTTTACGAGATTCAGAGAGCACAAAGTACACTATAGTTCCAACCGAATCAACTCTAAGCCAGGTTAATTAAGCCCGATGCTTGATTTAGTTTTGTATTTTTTTATTAACTTGTCTCCTAATGCCTAATGTAGTTTGAAAATTGTCTTTCATTAGAGCTCTACCTCGGCGGATGCGGTAGATTGAGCAGCACCAATTGCGAGTTCGGCGAGTTCTCCAAAATCACGTTATTCAAGCGTACCGAAGTGTTCATTTTGTGAATCTGCAAAAAAGAATGTTTCGCTTTTTATAATAAATAGATGAAAAAATTTTTGGTAATAAGCGATTTTGAGGGTGATAATAGACGTTAAAAACGAGAATTCCGGTATTTGTTTGTTTGTTTTTTCATTTCCCAAACGAACATTCAGTTTCAAATCTTTCGGATCCACACTCCCATTGTCTTCCGTCGGTTTTTCGTAAAGTTTTTCGGCGATTGTCGTTTGTGAAGAAATTGTGGCCGTTGGGGTGCTGAAATGATCAACTTTCTCTCAGCTGAATATCTTTTTGATAAGCAAAATGCATTAAGAATTGATTCAAGCATTCAGCTATGCAAAAAATTAGCAAATTTAAGGGATTAGCGTTTGCTTTGTACCCATTGACGGTCAAGTGGAAAAATGAGGTTTCAATGTGGTCGGCTTCTGGTTGGTTATCGCTGAATTAATGGTTTCTTGATTGAAAAAAAATTCATATGCGAACACTTTCAACTACCATTTTCTAAAAGGCACCAATTTCAGCTAAGCTACCGTAATCCCTGGTTCATTTTTTCATTCGATTAGTCGAATTTTGGTATCATTGACTGAGCTTTGTGATTCCTCATCGAATTGTAAACTTGTTCAACAAATTTCCCTACCTAAAAGTCGTCTCCTCGTCTTCGCTAATGTTGATGCTGATCGGCGAGAGTTGCTTCGGTTTTCCCGTCATTGGGGGTACTGAAAAAGTTCCTGAATAGCTTCAATCGATTCACCGATCCCGAAAACCCCCAGGTAAAAATTTTCAGCCAAATATCTTCTTTTTGTGCCATCTACAAAGCAAAATGACTGACGAAGTGTTGTTTGTGTGCCCGCATGACACACTTAAAGCCTCTCAACTTCTCAAAAATCCTTTGAAATTTCACTTACAAAGCTTCTGTTTGTGAATTTTCCCGTACAGAGTATCATCATTGTTGTAGCCCTCGTTGATAAAGCCGCCAGTCGAGCGGGAACGCTGGAAATTCTTTTTAAAATATTTTTCCATTAAAGTTTAAGTCCTTGATTCATAATTGTAAATCCCATTTGGAAACCCAGAAAAATGAGAATCAATCTTGGCTTTGACTGGCTCATTTCGAACTTATTCATCATCGATTCAATATCGATTATTTTTGTTGACCCAACTTTGAAACTTTCAACTTTGAAACTGACATGTATCTCCCCGCATTCCCTCAACTCTTTCCTCTTTGCTTCCATCTCGGCCACTCGGCTGTGCACATCTTCCGAGATTTCCTCGTCTAACAGATTTACAATCTAAAAATTTTATTGCTAAGATTTTATTTAATAGCTTTATACAAATTTAGAACAGAAAACATTTTGCCGGCTCAGCATGACGCCATTTGGTATGTCTGTTTCAAATTTGACGGCTTTAGAAAGGATGGATCGAGTTGAATTGTTGACAGGCTGCTCTTGACCGGTACTTTTGATAATTATCCAGAATAGGCGCTATTGTTATTCTAGCCCTCTTTCACCTTTTGGTTTTGAGCAATTTTGAAACTTGAAGTTTGAGTCAAACGCAGTTGAACTGTTTTTCTTTGCAAATTCGTTTTCTTTAACTTGTCTCCTTTCCCCTTCTTAATCTTGCCTCTCTTTTTATCCAATCTATTCACTTTTTGCCTGATTCTGTCTGACAAAGGATATCGAAAGATATAAAAGTAGATAGATTCGATAAAAATAGAGACAACATTACGGTAGAAAGGGGAAAGGGGACAAAAAACGTATTATTTAATGTATTGGGTCTATGGTATTAGGGTATTAGAGTAATTGCTTATTTTTTGCAGAGTAATCGATTTCTGCCTTGCTGATCCCCTTTGAAACTCACAAACAACTCGGCGTCGATCCTCAACATATAAATATATTTCTGCAATGCCACCCGCATCTCCTCACTCTTTTGCTCATCGGTTTCAGAGATTGCGAAAACTCGAAGAGTGCAGCTTTTCCAGACCTAAAAATACATTACACCCTGGTATTATTAACTGGTTTCAACTTTATCAAGAACATCAAGAACATTTATCAACTTTATCTTTCAACTTTCAACTTTACACAAGAGAAACCAAGAAAAGTACACTTAATTCTTTGGCAATTAACCACTTAATACAACTAATTCCCCAGGTTTATCGTGGTATTTTTATTGCATTTTCAAATCGAATTAATATGCACCCTTAGCTTTTTGGAACTCTTTTTAAACCCACAAAACCCACAAAACCTCACTTTGTGCTGTTGCATGAGATAGGCGATCAACATGAGAATCCCACCGTCTTGCACAACCCACCAAATGTCGATGTACCTGGAAAGGTATCAGTGCACCAGTTATTCGAAAATTTACCCAGAAAGCCGCTCGTTGTAGTCGGGGAAATCGGTGATCCCCTTGGCGACGATCACGCAATTCTCGTTGCGAACTCCGTGAATGAGTTCTTCTGAAAGAAATCACTTTTGAATATTTGCTCTAAATTGAATTTGATTTTTGAATAGTTTATTATTACATAAAGATTTGCGCTTTTTCGATGGCTTTAAATTTGAAACTTTAACTTTGAAAATGCTTGAGGGGAGAAAGATATAGAAAGATATTCTAGATATTGGCTAGAATCGTATAGTTAAGATATAATCATCCTTAAACTCACCCGCAAACAAGAACACCTCGTCGTGGTCCTCGAAATTTGGCCAATTGACGAGAACGGTGTTCGGACGGAGACCGCCAATGCCGACAGCTTGAAACACAGCTGACATCACGCCGGATAACTCAATATTTTATTGAATAACGTGATTTCAAGTTAAGCGGCTTGTAACAAAATTGAAAGCATTAGTTTCGGACAGAGCTCTTCCAAAAGCCATGACTAGCCAAACCAAGCCAAAGCCAATGGTTTTCAATTGGCCATGGCTTTGGAATTTCAAACTTATTATAGAATTTGGCCTAAAACCTTGACTTTGACTTTAGCTTTAGCTTTCCCTATAAAATGAGCCCTAGAAACAAGCTCTAGAAAATCGAGCAAAAACGAGGTACTGTTCTACCATATGAAACGGTTCTCCGCCGATCTAAAGCTTTAACCTAAACATAATAGCCGAACTTTTTGAAACAAGAAAATTTAGATAAAGAGATGAAAAATTTATCTTTAAACAGCTCAAAGATCTAGCCAAATTCAGTTTTTTTTTTCAGAAACACAAAATGAAACCTGTTGCGGTGAGTAGAAAAGCGCTTTTCCGAAACCCTTCAGCCGGGCGGTGTCCATATCCTTTTGCACGCGTTGTTTCACCTATTCACAAATAAATATAACATTTATCCATCAAAAAGATCCTATTTTTAATTTTGATAAGGTAAACGATCAAAAAAGAATCTTTCTTATTGTTTGAAGATCGTAAAACTAAGGCTTTGAAGTATCCTTAACCCTTAAAGTCTACTCTACTTTCTGCTATGATTCAATTCATTACGGTGGCTTTAAAACCTATGCTATTTCTCAAGCTACAGTCTCAAAAATCAAAAGCGAACCTCAAGAGATCTCGATTTGTCCTTTGGATCCTCCGGATTGCCTTTCAAAAAAGCGCATGCAATCGCCAGACCTCTTCCGGCTAAAGAAAAACTTGTTTATTATAGCTTTTTTATAGTTCAATTCTTTAAATCTTGTCCTGTCAAGCTTAACTAAAAAAATAGATAAATTTTCCTTTCAACCTTTCAACTGTCCGCCCAAATGAATGAGCGAAACGGCTCGATTGTCCGTGATGTGTTTACTCCATTGTGCACTCAAACAGATCAACAATTGTGGGCGCCAGTTCTTCGGGTGTGGATCCGCGTCTTCCACCTGCAGATTTTCAAACGATCAATTATTTAGACCTCAAACTCTTTGGCAATCTTGGTTTTTTGTTTTTTACCTTAAAAATGTACACTGCATTAGATTCAAAACCTCATTTCAAACTCGGAACACTTTGAAACTTGAACTTCCAAGCACAAACCTTCATCAGCGAGTACTGCGCTGTGGTCAAGGCCAAACCGCGAATACCGTCTCCCCATTCCTTTTTGGCACTGAATTTTAACATTTCTAACCTTTAACCGATTCCTTTAAGCACTTATTGGGTGGATGGGTGGCAAATTAAACTTTCCAATCTCTTTTTACTCTCCTCAACTTTGAAACATAACTATTTTTTCAGTAGTGAGTTTCTGATTGTAACTTTTATTTTGCTAACAAATTCAAAAGTGTTACAAACCCTTTCCATTCGACATATTTGTAGATGGCAAAAGTCATCGCACAGGCGATCGTCGCGAATTCCCAACGAGACGCGAACATGATGAAGAAGCAGAGGAAAGCGCCGAGCAGGGAAAGTGACCTACAATTGTGTATTTTGTGCTCTCTCAAATCCCGTAAACATCCCCTTTCTGGCGCACTCAATTCTTCCATTTTCCCTCGTCACTGGGGAAAATAGAAGAATTGAGTGCGCTAGAAAGGGGGTGTTTACGAGATCTGTGGTCATAAAGTACAGTATACCATGATGCTCAAGGTTATAACTCACCAATGATAATATTTGAAACGCGGGCGCCAATTTGGTGCTCGCATGATCGAGTGCATGAAACAGATCAAATTCACGAACGCGTAGCACATCAGGAAGAAGAAATCGAGCACCTGAAAAGAGAGATTTCATCCAAAAATATCATATTCTTCTTAAATAATTGATCTATTAAGCTTTTAAAACTACATTTCAAGCACTCAACATTGAAACATCAAAAATATTTGCATATTTTTGTTGAAAAGCTTTAAAAAGCTTTCACTTCACGTCCCAAACTCACCTCAGCAATAGAATCGACAGCTCCGAGAAGAATGGCACACTCAGCGATGAAAGCTGTCAACATCAATCTGAAATTTGAGAAGAAATGACTAACGAGTTTGCAACGTTAATCAAATTCAATAATAGCACATTCAATAAATTCAATTTCACCACGCTTTTTCAAGATAATAAAATGCGTTACCAGTTTTTACTCACCCAAGGAAAGGCTCATTGTTCTTGGTGACTCGGGCGAATGGCCGCAACGTTGGAATCACGTCATCTTTGGCGATTGATTGGAGAAGGCGGGGAGCACCTGGGAAATCAGAAATTCTATCGTTCCCCGTGTATATTAATGAAAGCCTCTTTTCCCTGCCAATCTTTTGAAAATGTAAAAATTATAAGCTAGAGTAATCTAGAACTAAATGACAAAGCACTTGTTTTTTAAAATTTTGAAACTTACTTTTTTCAAGCCTACCAATAGAACTTATTTACATAGAAAATGAATTTTTACTTACAAATTAACTATCAATTAATGACAAAAATGCGTTTTTGTTACATTTCTCTCTTAGAAGTGTCACTTTCACTTGTCATTGGTAAATTAAACGCACCCCGCACTTTTGGGCCGGCAATTCTTTGAAACTTGACTCTTGAACGTCTAAGTTTAGTCAAATATACAAGCTTAGTTTAGTCAAATATAAGACTGAAATCCCACTGCATAAACATTGCAGTGCGGCGCCGAAAGTCGAGAGAAATGACCCAATCGTGACCACCCATTTGTTCGGCCACGCCAACGCCGCCACGACCATTTGATCGTCGATCGAGCGACCGGTTCTAAATGATTTTACCCAAAATCAACAAAATCAAAAGTACTTTCAATATTCAATTTTGATTTCCCCCACTCACTTGTCCCTCAACACCGATCGATCAATGGACGCAGCGAAGAGAACAGCCAACGCAAAATAGATCAACGAGGTCGACGCGGTGGCGGCAATCGTTCCAGTGGGGATTGACTTCTGCGGGTCTTTTAAATCACCTAAAGCGTGTATATTTTAATTTAATTTTGACTTTTTCAACTTAGGGATTGCAACTTATTCCTAACTTCTATTTTCTCAGATTTCAATCTGTTTAACGTTTAATCAGATCAGTTTAATCAGAGGATCAGATCAATCGTTTAATCAAAGCTTCCCAACTGTAAATAACTGAAGTTTCAGTCTGTTTCACTACAGTAAACATATAAATGAAGTTGAGCTGAGTTGAGTGTGCCAGAAGGGAAATGTTTACGGGTTTTCTTACTGCTTTACTGACCACTCATATTAGCGCCAGTCATGATTCCAGTCACAGCAGGGAAATAGATGGCCATCAGAACAAAGAAGGTCACTAAATATTTCGATAAATTGAAACGGTAGTTTGATTTGATCTCGAAATTGTATCAAAATTTGCTTTTGTGACCTGTGACATCTTGAACGACTTCATACTGCTCACTCCCCTTTTTCCCCGGTAGTGCCTCGTTTTTCCCCATATACGAAGGGTCCAGGTTTTCTGGAAATATTTACATTTTATCTCAAAAAACTGTAATTTTGGCCGAAACGGATTGGACAGATTTTGTTTTCTGATTGCCTACTAAAAACAACCCATAAACCTCGACCATAATCTGTACCCATTAGTGATCTCTGTATTCCAATTTCCCTAGTGATCTCTGTATTCCAATTTCCCTAGTGATCTCTGTATTCCAATTTCCCTAGTGATCTCTGTATTCCAATTTCCCTAGTGATCTCTGTATTCCAATTTCCCCACAATTTCCAGTTCTTCCCCTTTCTGCACTCGAAAAGACTCGATCCGAAATCACCTTTCAGAGTGCCAAAATTAAAACCGGGAAACCCGGGAGTGACGGCCATTTTCGTGCGCGCGAATTCCGAGCAGATCTCTTGCGCTTCATTGTCTTCCTAAATAGAAAATTATGGCCTAATTTTGATCGATCTACTCATTTTCTCAAAAAGCCCCACTTTCTGTGCTTCCTCCTTGGGCAATGTCAACGATTTCGTGTGATCGCAGAAGGCTTTACCGATCCTCAAATTTTGTCAGTTTCAAAGTTATGTTAATGAAAAGTGAAAGCTGTGAGCTAATTAAATGTCTTGAAGTAAACGTTCACGTTTTCCCGTTTTGTCACTGAGGAACTCACCAAGCGTGCTTCTGACATGCGTCGTCGAGTGTCCGATTGCCGATTTTGCTGAAAAAAAGTACTTCAAAATTTGGTCAAGACTAGAGTAATCTAATTGTGGTTCCATTATCTAAAAAAATTGAATTTAAATTCGAAAGTTTAGCCTAATTTACAGTAAGTTTATGAGAAGCTAGAGTAGGCTTTAAGCTACTCTTTACTTTAAGCTACTCTTTACTTTAAGCTACTCTTTACTTTAAGCTACTCTTTACTTTAAGCTACTCTTTACTTTAAGCTACTCTTTACTTTAAGCTACTCTTTACTCTTTACTTTTTTCTCTACTTTAAGCTAGAGTAGGGTTTTATTGTTAGATCTTAAGCAAAATTAAACTTTTAAAAAATGCTTGTTTCAAGTTAAAGTAGTTTAAGTAGATTGGCTAACATTTAATTATATGTCGGGTTCTGTTATAATTGATGCTCAAAAGTTTCCTTCAAAGCTTCAAAGTTCTACTCAAAGCATTGCCCAATTTGTTTGTATTGTAAAAATTTTCTGAAATGATTTCCTTTTTTTTCTTGTAAAATGTGGCAAATGTTATTTCACTGATTCGAGTGAAATAATATTTGATATGATATGATTCAAGTGTCTATTACTTTATACTCTGCTAACCTTACTTACCTCTACGATATTTTGGTATCTCTACGATATCTTGTTATCAAAATGGTATCTTGTGAAGAAGCGCAGAAAGACGCAATGTAATGTTGGCTTTCGTAGTAAAGGCACAAAATTGAATTCAACCAGTAAAGCTAATGCAAGCAAAATAAGCAAAAAAGACTTTTTAAAAGAGTTTTCTTGTTTTTTAACCTAAACACTTTCTAATAGATTAGTTAAAAGTCAATTTTTCAGTCATTTTGAGTTAAAAACCCTAAAAACTAACCCCATCTCGTTTTCGTACTGCTTGAAAAGGAAATGCGTCCTCAACAAGCGATCGTCCATCGTGCAAACTCTGTAATGTTAATGATAAGATTATTTGTAGCATGAAAATTCATCTCAATTCCTGTAAAGACCCAGTCATTCTCAGTCTAGATATTAAGAATTGGCATTGATGTCAGATAAGAAGCCAACGTCGAGTACATACGAGTACAGATTACAAGTTGAAATCGTTTATACAAGGAGATCCCTTTGAAACACAATAAATTTGAGGTCAAGACATTGAATTCAAACAGTTATTGCAAAGGATTAGCCATTTTTATTTGAACCGGCAGCTAGTGTAGATCAAGTACAATGCCAATGAGTTAAAATGATGTTGAACTTTTTGTTTTTTCTACAACTTACAACTGTCCATTGCCCATGATTGCCTTCTCGACACCGCCGGCGAAACAAGCCGTCAACGCGAGGATCACACAAACGAGGGAGACCTGGAAATGGCAGAAAGACGTAAAGACATAAAGACATAAAGACAAGTACACTTGAAAGAACATTGTTTCAATATTCCTTAAGTGATTTAGATTGGTTTAATGTTATCCAAATTAGCATTTAGTAAGCTTTTTCACCTTTCAAATTCTCTAAATAAGCCTTTTTATGCTCGGAAAGTTCTTGTTTCAAATTAATTTCAAATGTGTGTTCTGTGAAAGCGCTAATGGTAATGAATGTGCTGTGATGGTTTTAGACAATAAATACAGTCCTCTCCCCTCTACCTAATACACTACCTAATTTACATTTTAGTATCTAGGATCCTTACCGGGGCCAACAATTGCACGAATTTCACTCCCATCGCCACGATCAGCACCTCGATGATGAGGAAAATAGTGCCCCAGATTCGGTAGTTGTTCGTCATCATCCCGAAAGTCGCTGAAATTTTGATAGGATAAGCATACTTGAATTCAAGTCAAAGCTAAGCCTTGCTATACTCAAAAACTGACTTGTATCCGTGTGTGCTTCGTGGCCACCGATAGTCAACTCCGGCCAAATGTACATCTAGAAAATTGACTTGATGATGAATAAATAATAATTTGAAACAGTTTGCTTGTTTCTAATGACTTTAAGTTTGTCGAAGGAATTGGTTGAAGCTATTCATTAGATTGAGTCTACCAGTGGGGAACTTGGCTTCAATTGGTCAAAACTTTTAGAGAAACTTGGAAACTTATTAGCCTATGTTGGAGAGGAGATTCGCAGCTTTCAAATGATAGGAGACAAGCCTCATGGGGGATTCCCATCATCAAACAAAAGACACGTCACTTCATCCGTTAACGATCTGGTTATTGAGTTTCCGATGAAGCTAGTGTGTGCCTTATTGGAATTGGCATGGATAGTACCCTTTCCTGTGCCTGGTTTGCCTTTTATATGAAAGAATTTCCAAAGTTTCAACTTAAACAAGGATTCAAGAAGAGTTCACAACGTAATTACTATGTCACTTCACTATGTCAACGCTGCAAGTCGGTTTCAAGAAATCAATTACTTTAATACAAAATGTTCGCTTCGAAGTAGAGTCAACAATTGCTCACTCACCAGCAACACCTCAACGCCTCCCACCAAGTACATACTCGAAGCCACCGTGTTCGCCAGATAGAACAAAATGCCGACTGCTGATCCGAATTCGGCTCCTGGACATTGGAATTTGAAATATTTATGAGCTTTTCACATACCCAAATTCCTTGATATCATAAAGTAGGCACCGCCCGACTCGACGACTCCATTTGTCGCCACGGCTGAGAGGGAAATCGACGTCAGTAGGGTCTGAATTCAAGTAAAAGCTAAGATTTTTTTTGATTTTTATTTACTTCTTTTGTTCTAGATATCGAAAAGTCAGCTTGATAGCAGAGTTAGGATCTTGGAAAACTGTATTTTATGAGCTTAACACGTTCACCACTTGGTTTTTTTACAAGGAAATTAGTAACTGGTTAGTTTTTAATATTTTTGTGATCTCTCTTCTTTTAGACGAGATTTCAGAGCATCTTTTCATATTAAAAGCATCAAAATCGATCAACTATGGAAAAATGTTTGTTTGATGTCGACTGTGAATTGAACATCTTTGATGAGGACTCCTCAAAATGACCGAAGCGCAGAATTCTATTTCGAGTATTTGGGGTTATTGTAGATCAAAACTAACGTTGAATTCGGATTCCCCACCTTCGAAAACACTAGTTTACAAATTCTCAGCACAATTGTTTTATAAAAGTGCCAAATATAACATGTGAGTCACTGGTGACTCACATGTTATATTTGGTCGCAAATGTGTCAAGGAAGTTTACAAGTTTCATTTTCAGAATTGAGAGGAATCGTGAATTAATAGTAATAACAAAAAAAACTAATAGTTTTGGTTTTCTTGTTTCCAATTTTTGATTTGATTTGATAAAACTTAGAATTTCGCAATCAAAAACTAAAGTTTCAAAGTTTTCGGCTTGAAATTTTAAGATCGATTTTAATTCTGATATGGGTGCACAAAAAGAATTTCTCTAATTCCTCAAAACCCTCACACATGAGCAGCAAATGGCCAAAATGGCGCAAGTGTGCCAAAGACCGGCCAATCCGACCACCCAAAAGAGACGAATGAACATCGTGACGCCGAGAATGTGCTGAATCGTGGGTAAGTAGACACCCAACATCACGCCGAGGTTCGCCTGGAAGGATTGTTTGGATTGTTTCAAAGTTGAGTAGGCAATCGATCAATGTTTTTCTTTGTACACATGTACTTAAAGCTCAGTGAGCTATTTAAACCTTTTTATGCTCCGAAATCGCTTTCTCTTTCGGGCCGGGCGTTGTGTAAGCGGAAATGAACGATGCGGGAGGACCTGGAAAGTTGAAATTTGCATTTTTCAATTGGTGCAGATGTTCAATGGGCCTTTGAAGGGAATTTGATGCTGCATCAATTTATTCTTTAAAAGTCATGACTTGTAATTAGATACTCTACACCAGAGTTCAAGCCTAGAAGTAAGCTAGGACAAGTCCAGGCCTTCTGATAGACCCAGATCCGCATGAGAGTCAAGCTTATCCCATCAAAAACCTTTTTTTTCAAGGTAGGCAGCTATAAACGGCCGGCTAAAGAAAACTTGAGCACTAGTTCTACCCAGATCCATCCTCGTTTATGAATGAATTGGTTACAATAACAAGGTAAATTGAGTCGTTAGCGTAGAAAATAATTACAGGCACTCAAGACCTCACCATCTCCATCGTCGTTCTTGAAAAGCGCCAAATTGCCAAAAGTAGCCGTGAACTTTCGGCCTTTATCATCGTCAACTGAAATTTAATAGATTATCACATTAAAAAATACTTTGCATCAAGATAAACTTAAATTAACTGCCAGATGCCAGTTAGGTTCAAACTTGCTTCTTAAAAGATCAACTCAGCTTTATTAAACTGATTTAAACCCACCAATCGATCCTCGTCTATCGTTGGATGCTCGCCGAAAGCTGGACGGGTTCACCTGGGTGACTGTCGAGAAACGGCGCCTGGAAAAGTTTTGGTTTCAAATTGGATGCCTTGAAAGTTGTTCTACAACTAATCGTGGGGGATACACGTGGTTTCCAAAAGAACAGTACTGCCACCGGGTACAACCGTAATGCAACTGACATCTTTAAGTTAATTTAAAGTGAGTTTGCCCTTCCTCTTTCGAATGACATGTCTTGCCTGGCCTGCTCTGGCTTTTACGAGCCGGATCTGAAACAAAGTCAGACCAGGACCTGGCCCACAAAAGCCAGAAGCCAAGCCCCGACCCGGCTTTAGCCCTGCCTGGCCTCGCCTGTCTTGTGATTGACTTAGTTAGAGGCTTTTAGAGTTAAACCAGCCCAGGATCTAAAGCAAAGCTGGCCAGGTCAGGTCCTGACCTAAACCATGTCTTGAAGTCAAGCCAAGCCAGGCCAGGACCTAAAGCAGAGCTGGCTTACAGGCTCTATTCTTGATAGCTATATTTTTCTTCAACACAGTACGCTGTCGAGTCTCCCAAATCCCTCAGCATGAACATGGGCGAGCGGATTCCATGTAACTGGACTCCTTTTGGATTGGACACATTGTAGGATGAAGAAACCATCATTTTTAGAACAATTTGTTAGGAGTTTGCATTAAAGTTAGATTCTAGCTTTCTTTAAAATACATAAAATGTGTTGCGAAAAAGGGAAACTGTTATTTTTCTCGGTTCGACCGATAATAACCGATAATTTCCCACACGCGAATTTACATTGCTTGTTGGGAAGGTGAGAAAATCGATTTTAAGAAATCGAATTGAGATTTGAGAGCTGGGGTTTTTTTTGTAGCTTGATTTCAGGCTAATTTTGGCTAACTATAAGACTAGCTTAATTTTTAGAGTAAGCTTCTCAGTGCATTAAAAATTTGATTGGGCAAAGAAACCGGGTAAAAATTGAAACTACGATTGTTTTCTGATGAACACAGGTTACACGATGTTATTCTAGTGAAATAATATACCTGTAAGGGAGGAAATTTGAAAAATCACTGTGAAATTCTAAGATTTAACTCCAATTTATTAGTGGTTTGAGCACTTTATGACAAGTCTGAGACATTTGAAGCTCTGTAAGAAGAAAACCGATAAAATTGAAACTACGATCGTTTTAAAGGCAATGACAGGAAAATCCTAGTAAAGTTAAAGTTAAAGGATTGTTTTAAAGACAATCCTAGTGAGCCGTAAATTGAGAAAGGCAATTCATTCTTTGAGCCGCTAATTTTGAAACACTTAAAAGTAAAGTTTCAGTTTTTTGTACTCAAGTTACTCTGTGCTCTTAAATTCCATAAACATCCCCTTTCTGGCCCACTCAATTCTTTCATTTTCTCCTCATTTTGGTGTTACGGGGAACGGAAGAATTGAGTGCACCAGAAAGAGAGTGTTTGCAGGATTTAAGGGCACAAAGTACATCCCAAAAACTTTATGTTTCAACTTTGATGAAGGATCAATTCGCTAGCAGAGCCTTAATCTCTAATGGCTAGAATTCGAGGTGCTGGGTTTCAAGGGTACGGAATTGGAATTGGAGGGTACGAATTGCCGCTTTTAACACCCAGTGAAGTATCGTTCTTTGAATCGGACAAAAACGTGAATGAAGAATTGAGTGAGTCAACGAGATGACACTCAGTTTTTCGTAAAACCAATGAAAATGATCTCACCCGATGCCCGATTCCATGATCTTCTGGCGGAAGCTCTGAAATTTTGAAGATTAAAAAAGAGAATAATTTTTGCGAAAATCAATTTGTCAACCCCGGTTTCTACATTTGAAAACATAAAACGAGACATTGAAAAGGGAGAATTTTGTGTTTAATTTTCAGAGCAATGATTCATCGTCACAATTTTCGAAGAGACGCTTTTTTCATTTGCGATCTTTTGAAACATGAAAAGGGTTCAACTTGGATAAAATATATGCTAATTATTTGAATTTTGATACTGCCCAATTTTGATACTGCCCAACTGACTCCATCTCTAAGGCTGAATAAATTCAAAAAGTATGTCACTGAAATATGCCATACTCGATGGTTAGGCTCGATCTCTATGGCTCTCTCTTCTCCAATCCGCTTTCCTAAAAAGTGCCCCCTTTCTACCGTAATCTTGTCTTTGTTTTATTTAGCTAAAAAAATATTATCTCTATTTATATCCAAATTTTTGCTATAAATAAATGAGATACTGAGAAAAGATCATACAAATACAGAATTACTAATAGCGAAACTCGAAATTGGATAAGGCCGGATTACTTAATCTAGAAATCGATCAAAGAACACAATTTTGAAACTAGCTTCTTGAAGCTATAGATAGTTTCCAGCTGAATAAACAGAGCTGAATAAATCAAGACTTTTAGGCTGATCGGTATCACTTCTGCAAACAAACTACAAACTTGTGCATTACCTTTCGAATATGTGCCGACCCAGAGCCGAGCGTTGCAGTGTGGTGCTCACTTTTCCCCTCACCGCCACTCATTGTTTCAGGAATTTCGGGAATTTTGAAAAAAATCGAAAATTAACCAAAATGGACCATAAAAATGTATGATTTTGTGAGAGTAGACGATTGATTTTCGGGGAGTTTTGGAGGAATTTTTTGGGATTTCTCGCGTGAAAATACGACCCTCATTTATGGGGGATTTTCGCGCACACCGTGAGTGTCTGACTCGATTTGAAAGGGCTTTTGAGTCAAAACTTTTGAAACACAAAATATTACGATGACTATGAGAGATGGGGAAATAGAGAGCAGATATAGAACTTTTGAAAGACTGTACCAAACAGACTTGAAAGACTGTACCAAACAAATTGTGATCACTTTTTCTTTGGCAAAGCTATTCTTGTTCTTTTTCTTGGGAGAGTAGCGTTTAAAACATTAAGTTAATGGCTTTTTTTTTGTTCAAGTTTTACAGCGACTGAACGCTTTGTTATTTGTTTGTGAATGAAAATATCGATGTGATTGGAAGAGTTCAGAAAATGATCAAGAAGTGATCGGTTAGTAAAAGTTTTTTTGTTTCTATTAAACTATTTAGAATATTTAGATTATTATATCTTTCTATACCTTTAAAAGTGAATATTTTGATTTTTGAACTATTAGTTACTAACATATGGTTACGACAAATGGGTGAACAAGAGCAAGAATAGCACCTGATAGTGTTATTATTAGATTTATAAAAGTAGTTAGACATCGGAAGTTAAAGAATACTTCAAAATAGGCACAATCCAGAATCAAAACTACTCTACAATCTTAACAAGGTCAAAAACAAAAACTCTGACTAATTCACTAAATATTTAGTGAATTAGTCAGAGTCCTTGTTTTTGACCTATTCGAATTACTTAAACACTTTTAGAACTAAAAACAAACAAAACAAAAAAACAAAGCTATTGAGAGCTTAAACTCAAATAGTCAATGAGCTAGTCGCACACTGATGCCCGAATCTGCCAAGTTTCGGGCATCAAGAATGCTAGTTTCAACTTTGATAAAGACTCAAGCACTGGACTTTATCTAATTAGAATGACAGCCTTGTACCTTTCTAACAATAAGTTTTGTTTGAAAAGTGGATTGGTTAGCAAAACGAATGAGTGAGTTTCAAAACGTAGCCGATTCGGAGCTTGATTTGACAGGCAATCGATTTGAATTTGAATTTGTTTGGATTTGAATTTTTTGTAAAGTTTTTCCGTTACATTACTTTTAGATTCATACTTACTAGTAATATGTTCTCTTTTTTAAAATTTTGATCTTTGATCATCAAGTTCTGTTACACAATTAACGTACAGATAGTGATGGTTGCCTTGACATGTGCTGCCCCATCGCCTCGTCTCCCTCGCAATAAATACTACCGCATTGCGAGCCTTCACGGGATACAACCTGGAATTGTCGGAAATGTTGTATTGTTTGTTTTACAGTAGACAGAAGAACCAAGTTTCAACATTGGGTCTATGCATTTTATTGAATCTAATCTATGGCAAAATTGGGGCAATCCAAACCAAAGTACTTTTAGAAATATTTAAATTTTGAAAAAAATTGTGATTCAGATTGGTTTAATGTTATCCAAATTATTATTTAGTAAGCTTTTTCACCTTTCAAATTCTCTAAACTGTAATGAAACTAGAGAACTAATTTGATGAAAACCGTGGTTTCTTGCATCAGAATCAGTGAATGATGCTTTATTTCAGTGAATGATGCTTTTACGGTAACACTGCTTCAAATAGTGACTCATATTGAAGGTTACAGAAAAACGAGCCCAATCGATTCACCGACCCCGAAAACCCCTAAGTACAAATTCACAGTTGTCTTCTTTTTGTGCCATCTACAAAGCAAAAGAGAAATCCTTGTGTAAAGTGACTGGCGAAGTGTTCGTTGTGTGGCCGCCGAATCCCTCTCCATCTGGCATAGGGCTCTGTTATAAGGGGAAAGAGCAGTGAGCCGACTGAACCGGCTGCGACAGCTTATAGACGTCACTATGCCCAAATTTCTAGGAGCTATTTCTAGGATTTCTCTGTATTTTTCTGCAAAACGGAGAGAATGGTGTCCAGCCATTCCAAGGCCATAGCATGGATGCTTATCAATGAAAAACCCTAACCAATATGCTGATATACCGGACACTCCCGATAGGTATGATACAATTTAAAAAAAATATTTATATATTTTTATTTCTTTAACTGACCTCTAGCTGAAAACGGATGGCGGGTGGCACGGTTCAAAGAAGATCAGATCACTGTTGTGAACTTGTTTCTAAAATGCTTTTATCGATTACAACTAGTCAATGTTCGAAAGTTTTCGGGTACTCTTTTCATTGTGTTTGGATGTATTTGTATCGAAAAAATTGCCGGTTGATCGAGTCTTTTCGAGTGCAGAAAGGGAAAGAACTGGAAATTGTGGGGAAATTGGGATACAGAGATCACTAATGGGTACGGATTATGGTCGAGGTTTATGGGGTGTTTTTAGTAGGCAATCAGAAAACAAAACCTGTCCAATCCGTTTCCTAAAACGTGTCCCCTTTCTCTTTCTACCGTAACCTTGTCTCTATTTTTATCCAATCCATCCACTTCTTGTCTGATTCGGTGAGGGTTCACAAAGAATATCGAAAGATACAAAAAATGGGGTAGGCTAGTTACCGCAACTTTTTTTGCGCAACAGGGTCATTTGCGCAACTCACCATAACTTTCTTCTACGTGGGCTAATCTTTATGATTTTGGTCTCATTTTGTTGCACTTATTGAGATCTACAAAATGAGACCAAAACCATAAAGATTAGCCCACTTAGAAGAAAGTTATGGTGAGTTGCGCAAATGACCCTGTTGCGCAAAAAAAAAAGTTGCGGAAACTAGCCTACCCCCAAAAAATGAATAGATTCGATAAAAATAGGGACAAGATTACGGTAGAAAGAGGACACTGTTTAGAAAACGAGATCTCGATCTTTACGGTACTATAAAACAGGATTATAATGGGTTACGATAAGTACAAATAAATAATGTAACATTATGCGTGCAAAAAGCGTGTTTACAGACAGCTCACACCTCAGACAGGAGTACTTTGGGCTTGTTACTTTTGAAACTTATCGTACCCCGCCCATTTGGGTACAGCAATAACAAAAGAACTACGGTAAGTACCCTAACAATTTAACAATATAGGCTACAGCTTGCGTTGGACTATAGCT